CAGGGTTTAGGGCTGTTGTTCATAGGGTCGCTATGAGTCGCAAATGACTCGACAGCACATAACAACAACAACAACATTTTTTCCCTCTAATGTGGCTGTAATGGCTGGTGACTTCATCTGCAGAGAAGCACTATTCGTTAGATAATCCAAACCTCCTGTCGTTTTGCCGAAGGAGAAAACTGAATATTTTGAGGAAGCTGGCTACAAGCCGGACAATTTTCTTTTCTCTCTGCTTCAAATGTATATGTGTACAGTCCATCGACATCATTGAATACCAAGTAATTATTAAGGGGAATGTATGCACTTATTGCTATTTTAAAAACTTCAGTGGCACACAGCTGCAATAACTGCATTTGTGGAAGCTACTGCAGGAATGATTCGTTTTATAATCCCTTGAATGAGTCTGTATGTAATACCCCTAATAGTATATTGTGATGCTCTCTCAAGGGATTTTTTGAAAATCCACTGAATATGATCAGGATCACCTCCATCTAAAGGAACACCTTCTCCAAAAGGCTGCTCCTTGGTCCACTGCAGCACTCTCACATACTCAACACAGTGCTCTGGAAGTCTGGGCATAGATGCAATGGTGCACATGGGAAAATTAACCTGCGGTGGATAAAGTTCCAGTGTACACTCAATACAAGCTGTCATTCCAGGCAGAATCACTCTGGCATTTCCTTTAAAGCCTTCAGTCCCTCCATCTATCAAAGGGATTATGGAGCTTGGGTCTAACACACCATCTTCATAATTTAGAAGAGATATCAGCATGCCATTTATCCATCTTCTGGCAATGACCGAGTCCAGTCCACAAACAATAATATGAAATTGTCGATAAAAACTGTCATCAAAATCTTGAATCTTGTTGAAATGTGGAACTACACTGCAGTTAGGGATTCTGTCATTTAGAAATTCTGCTGCAACTTCAGCCTTCGGTCTTCCAACATCTTTGGGCCTAAACAAAAATTGTCTATTTAGATTGGAAACATCTATAGTATCCATGTCTATAACATGAATCTGTCTAAAACCAGACAATGCCAGGTTTTTCAGGAGCTCACATCCTAAGCCGCCAGCTCCAATGACTAGAACTTGACCTGTTTCTAACAAAAACTGGAGAGATTCAGTGCTGGGTTCGAAATCAGGGTGTGTGAAGGGTCCAGATCGCTCGAGGAATTTCTTTACATGGTTCCAGCGACCTTCTCAGTCTCCAGAGTCCCCACACCCACCATCAACAGCCATTTTCTCAGCCAGCAGCTCCTCTATTCTCCTTCTTTTCTTCTCCGGCTCCTCGCAATCCGCCATATTGTTTTCACCCCTTCCCAGGAGCCCTCCCAAGCTTTTCTTTAATGAAGTTTATAGTCCTTGGTTTTAGTCCTAGGTCCATGATCCACCTTGAGTTGGTTTTTGTGTATGGAGTGAGGTGTGGATCTTGCTTGGGTCTTCTGCAGATACTTTTCCAATTCTGCCAACACCATTTGTTAAAAAGGCTGTCGTTTCCCCACTTCACTGATTTCATCTCCTTGTCAAAAATCAGTTGACCATAGGTAGATGGGCTGATTTCCAGGTTCTCAATTCTATTCCATTAATCTATGTGTCTGTCATTGTATCAGTACCATGCTGTCTTAACCACCATGGCAGTGTAGTAGGATTTTAAATCAGGGAGTGAAATGCCTCCTACCTTTTTTCTATTTTTAAGGAGTGCTTTGCTTATTTGGGGCTTCTTTCCATTCCAAATGAAACTGGAGATTGCCTTTTCCATCTTGTTGAAGAATGGGTTGGTATTTGTATTGGGATTGCACTAAACGTATAAATTGCCTTTGGCAGTATTGCCATTTTCACAATATTGAGTCTTCCTATCCATAAGCAAGGGATATTCTTCCACTTCTCCAGTCTCTTTTTGTTTCTTGTAGTAAGGTTTTGTAATTTTCTTTGAATAGATCCTTTGTACTTTTGCTTAGATTTACTCTCAAGTATTTAATCTTGTGATTCGCTATTGTGAAGGGTATTGTTTTTCTTACCTCCGGCTCTGTATTCTCTTTGTCACTATAGAGAAATCCAACTGATTTTTCTATGTTGATCTTGTATCCTGCTACTTTGCTGAACTGGTTATACTTCCTAATTTTAAACTTAGTAAATACCCTATAGAAATCTCTGACTATATACTCTAAGGATTATTCAGATGGACCTTAACAAGATGCTCTCTCTCCATGAACTTACTAATATACCTGTGCTTTCGACTCACCTTTTCTTGGTCGGTAGCCCGAAGACTCAAATAATTGAGAACTTGAGGTTCTAATACACTTAAGGATTCCAGTAGCGCTGGGATAAGTTTTGGTGCATGTGGTTTCAACATGGCTCCTGCACTTTTGCTGATTTTCACAAGGGTATTAATGCTACAAATACACAGAAAGTAACTCCTGAGTTCTTTTATCAAAAGTCAGAAGCCCTCTAAGTACCGTCATGAGGATACACAGTTTATTCAACTTAGGCATTCATTTATATGGTTACAAAGCCTAATCTTTGCTTAATATAAGAAATACAGAAAATCATAAATAATTTATATTCTCTCCTGCTAGTTCCACAGTCAGCAACATTTAGCCAAACTGGCACCATCTGAAACTACCCTGGTGGTGCCATGGTTAAAGTACTGGGTTATGCAATCATACTCCCTACTTTACAGGACAGAGATGTGGCAATCTGCGTCCATAAACATTTACAACCACAAAAACACTTTGAGCCAGTTCTATTTTGTCCTATGAGGGTTGCTATGATTCAGAACTGACTTAAAATAGCAATGAAATTCATTGGTTTTTGATGTACAAATGCATATAATTTTTGCTCTTCCACTGTACTATTTTAAAGAGTATGATAAAACTAAACTTCAGTATGCTGTCTCTAAGAGAAAAGGACTCTATCAAATCACAATATAACACTGTCTTACCTAGAAATATTAGTAACTTTTTCTGCTATCTAATAGGGAGCTCTGGTGGCCTAGTGGTATTAAGCTATGCTGCCAACTGTAAGTCTTGATTTTAACACTTTGGAAGCAGAGAAGCCAGGTGCTACTTTTATGGCATCACTGGATATACTCAAACCACCCTTATCCAGTTTCTCCAATGATTTTTCAGTAAGTCACATGATTTGAATCCACCAGCTCTGGAGAAAGATGCAATCTCCTCCCTTGTGATTTACAGTCTCTGAAAACCCACTGCAGGGTCAGCTGTAAGTCAGTTTCAACTTGAAGGCACATAATAACAATGACATAATTTAATATTCACATTTAGTCCTTCCCATTAGGCCACCAGAGATCTTTAGTTTTATAATAGAAGTCTTCAGGAATTTGTTTGTTTGAATTAGAAATGAGAGTATTCACCCACATATCATTATTTACTGCATTCTTAATTCCTTCCAAGTGTAACAGTACCCAACTGTTCTCTTTCTTGTTATTTGTCCTCATTAATTGCATTCTAATGTTATCACTTAGCATGTTTCTCTGTCCCTTTTACTGATCTGCAGTCCTGCCTGGGTCAATGTTCAATTTTTCAAAAATCAAGAATAGGTAGTACTGTGTGTATACTATTCCATTATATTAAGACACACTCAACCGCTGTTTTGTATGTTAGCAGTGATCCATGGTCTCAGGTTTCCTTGACCTGGACCATCCATGATAAAGTTCTCCATCCACTTTTTACCCAGTGAACCGAAGAACTATAAATAATCATTACTTAGAATAGTTAAATTAGCAAACAATTAAGAAATCTCCTAATTTTATGTTTCCTTAAAGTATTAGAAGAGTTCTTTAAAAAACAATTTATCAGTCTTTTAATTACCATGAAATAAGCTTAAAACTACTAATATGAGCTAGCTTTAACAGTGATTTCACTGGAACACATCAAGTTCTTAGCTAACATTCTAATTTAACATTCACACAACTACAAGTTTTCACTGTTGAGTCCAACTTAAAATATCATTTATTTTAAATTTAAGCAAGATCAAAAGAAACACAACAAGATGATACACTTGGTGAGGACAGATACTGATGATAACAAGAAACACAATTCATGCATGATCAAGGCCTACTGGCAGATATGCTGTTGGAAGGCAAGGTTCCATGAGAATGCTGGTGCAAAGACTTTGATCCATAACTTTTCACAAATGCTCTTATGCGCCTTTCTAATTTCTTTTCTGTTCAATTTTCCCTATTTCCAGGAATCTAGCACTCAAAAAAAACTCAATCGTTCCAAAAGGAGTAAAAACTAAGTAAATCAAATGTATTCATCTCATCAAGTGATATACATACATACCTGAGGGCTCGAACTTCTGTCACAGGGCTCATCATGCCCTTGTCCAAAAGGCAAGGCAGGAGGACAGCAATGGTTCTCTGGCCAGCTGCTCCTTTGGCAGGGTCACACATTTTCACACAAACCTCACACACAAAAAGCACAAAGATTAGTGACACTGACTTCTCACCTAGTAACATATTTACATGAGAGAACACTTTCTACATCTCACATTCACAGAAAAAACATGTGAGCCTACTTTCTATTAAGAGAAGTGAGATCTGTGACTGAGAGGGCAGCCAATAACTAAATGGAAAGTTTATTAAAATTTTGATCTCCATATTTGAGAAACAGGGAACAAAATGGTGAGGATAAAATGAAAAATTCAAGAATGTTTGAAGACTTAAGGTATCAAGACTAATTTTGGAAGTTTGCACAGTAACAGAAACATCTGGATCTAGAATCTAGCTTTACTAATGATACATTTATGGCAGTTTATCCCACTAGAAAGTCAAAGTATATCCCTGATAAAGCACAGTAAAATTATTGGAAAACTGCTTAAGTTTCAAAAACCTTATCAACCTCACAAAATAGTAAAAGTAACTTAACACATAAACTTAGGAACAGAATGAGAGAGAAAAAAAAATAGATACTGTTTGACTAAAGTGAGTAATGTCTTCTTCATGGTCAAATGCTTTTTTTTTTTTGTCAAATGCATATTACACCTCATACAGGCCTAGAGAAGCTCACCATTTAAAGAAACTAGAAAAAAATGTTAGTATTTTGCTGGTTAAAAATAGGAGTGCTGGTGGCACAATGGTTAAACTCTCAACTGTTATTCAAAAGATCTCTGTTTGAAATCCACCAGTCATCTCCATGGGAGAAAGATGTGGCAGTGTACCCTTATAAGGACTCACTGCCTTGGAAACCTCATGGGGCAGTTCTACACTGTCTTACACAGTATCTATGAGTGAGAATCAACTCACTGGCATTGAATTTCGTTTTGGTTAGTTAAAAATATTGGTATTCTAATAGCACTCACTACTCTGACTATATGCCCTTTTATATAAAAGAAAGTAATTACTAATTTTTTTGTAGTAACATAAAACTCTATCCCAAGCCATCCCTGATAAAAGACTGTAATTTTCACCTTGCTCAAAGTTTTCAGAGCCAGTTCAGCTGCTTTTCGAACGGATTCCTTGAAATGAGAAAGTGTAACATCAGACAGGTTTGAGTTTCATTCTCACCATTCAACAGGTCTATTTAACTCCTTCAAATCTACACATCTTAGCCAAAATCTTACTATCAAAATTAAAACCAGTGTTTCATTAAGCTGTCTGCCCATCAAGGAATATACTGCAATGTCATATTGTTATTTCTTAAAAATTAAGTAGGGCATATTTTGACCTTATAAAATCTGAGCTATAGAGGATATAAAAATATAGAAATTAAGGGAAATACAGAAATACAGTAAAGCAAACATATAAAGATCTCTATGATAACTCTATAGTATTTTAAAATCTCTAGTAAATAAAGCAAAATAGAAGTGTCTAATCTTAATAAGGTATCAAAATAACTGAAAATCAGAATATCCAGGAAAGATTCTGAAGGAACGGTCTTGTTGCTTGGTAATGACTAGTCCAATTCATGAAACAGATAAATGTAGTTATCCTGGATTATTTTCAAATCATTATTTGTCTATATCTCAGCAATATTATGAGATCTCTAGTGAAGAGTCAGCCTGCAGGCATTTCTTTTTTTTTTTTTTTAATTCAGTTTAGATCAAAAGGTAGTCAATCTTCCATATTCACAGGTACATCAAGACTAAAATGTTATAGGGAAACTGTAGTCTCTTAAAATTGCCTGGATACTGAATTTTAAAATATGTAGATATAGATAAAATATAGTCTAAGAATTCAAATTTAAGCTTTCCTATGAATAAATACGGATCTTTTTCTGTAATACCTTGATATCATCTTGTACCCTAAAAAGTGTTTCCCAAATTTCTGGAAGTTTATCAATGATGTCATCCAGGGGTCTTCCTCTCAAAAGATCATTCAAAGCTAAACAACTGTAAAGACAATTTCATATAAAATATCTGATCCAAGAAATGTCAATATTTATTATGAAACATGCAAATCAAACAGAATACAAATTCTACTTAAATTTCTAGCCCCAATCTCTTCAAGACAGCAATGATTACTCTTTCCTCAGTGCCCCAAATAAACCAAAGAACTGATGGCACATACATTCACCAAATACCTGTTTCATACATCTAGGATACAATCCCTTTGAGATTTTACATCATTTTTTTAATTACACCATTGTGGCTCTACGGTATGGCACCCTGCCAAGTGTATAAGCAGCACTGAGTAAAAAGCATATGTGTAAGTCAATTTCACCCTATAAAGTGAAAAGAGTATAGAAATATAACTTGATGTCTACCAACTTAATTCTATCATAAAGTTGTGAAAACGCAGACTAAGATTTAAAGAGTTAAACATAGACAACAGGCTAACGCGGCCAAAAATAAGGTTTCCAGTAATTTTAATTTATCCTTTTGTATGAAGTATAAAACTTGAAAACACTAGGGGACAACATCGAGGGGAATATATTGTGTCTGCATAGTTGTAGTTCCAAAAATGGTACCTGGATTCTCGAACTCGCCACATATTGCTGGTAAGATTCTTAATCAAATCTTGAAGAATCTCCTTCAAATATTTATCCACCTAAAGAAAGCAAAAGATACAAAACAACTATGAGGTATCATCTTACCCCAGTAAGAATAGCAAAATTCAACAGAGAAGCAAATAGCAAATGCTGGTGAGGTTGAGGAGAAACTGGAACCTTTTATTCACTGTTGGTGGGAGTGTAAAATGGGGCAACCACTATGGAAGGCAGTATGGTGCTTTCTCAAAAAGTTGGAGAAATACCATTTGACCCTGCAATTCCACTAGTGGGAATATAACCTAAAGAAACAAGAACTGCCACCCAACGGGTTGGAAACAACCCTAGTGCCCATCAACAAACGAATGGCTAGAGAAGCTGTGGTATATTTACACAATTTACTATGCTGCATTGAAAAACAAAAAACTTACGAAATAATCTACAAAACGGGTGACCCTGGAGGACATAATGCTGAGTGAAATATCTCAGTCACAAAAGAACAAATACTGCATGGTGCCACTGTTGTAAAATGGGACTGACCTCGGGGTTGGGGGTAACCTAAGAAAAGAGAGAATAAATAATGTATACTGCACTGAAACAGATGAGGAAGATAACTGTTTAAAAGGAATACAGGATTAGGTATTATTTTCATTACAAGATTACAGAAAAAAATGCAAATTAAAGTGGGCTGTGGACTGGGGGAATTGTGTAACAAAGAATTTTTTTTTCTTCAAAGAGAAAAATGAACTGGGGGAGGGGTGGGTAAAAAGGAAAATGTGCAACAATGAATGAATGGGGGGAAATTAAATGGAAAGAGTATGATGTAAAAAATATATATGTTGCATTAATTAAAAAAATTTAAAAAAAAAAGAAAAAACCCACAGGGGGGGAAAAAAAGGAAGCAAAAGATAAAATAAAAATATCTACCAAAAATCAAACCATTCATTCACCTAGCAAACACATGAATTTTGTTTCTGTCATTTAAGAAATATCTCTTTAAGCTTTTCAGTCCATAATTTTCCTTATGTCAATCAACAAAAAATGCCAAAACAATCACTCTAAGATGTGGACAATAGTCTTATCTTCCTCAGTACCTTTATCCCTCTATGAATAAAGCTCAATCACCTGGACACAAATACAAAGTCCTCAGAGATTGATCTAGCAAAAAGACCAAAAGTCACGCAGTGTCCCATCTGTATATACTGGCATATATTATTTCCTCTACCTGTAATTTCTTTCCATCATCCTACTTGCTTAGCTATCTTCTACTTGTCCATCAAAAGTCAGAATCTTTTCAGAAAAGACTGGTTTAAGTACTCTCCTTTTTGTTCCCACAGCCTCTTCTTAAGGACATACTATACTGCATGATAAATACATTATCCTAAACATGTCTACCTCATTTAATAGAGAATCAAGGGCCGGGAGGGTGTCTCATTCATCTTTCTATCCACAATAATATGAACAGTGTATAGAATACAAAGAATTATGGCTGTATATAAATAAAGTCTCTATTTTGTTTACACAGACGCTTATCAACTTTGAAGTAAAAGCAAAATGATGACACATTTCATACTTATGAAATTATAAAGATACTCAGAATGTATATATTTCTTATTTTACACTTGGAAATACTCAGTTTCGCTGTTCTCATATAAATATAAGAAACCCCAGACAGGTAACTATTAAACAGGCTGACTTCTTCCTGTCTCTACGTTTCTAAACATTCTCCACACATGATCTCGTCCACACCTGTGGATTCTCCTTCCACACTGAACATGAGGACTCTCATCCAGCTTAGGCTTTAGTTAGGACCTCAGATCTTTAACAAACTGCTAGATCTTGGCCTACACAGCGGTACCAAATATTTCCTAGAGTAAATGGAGCTCAGGAAGCATGGAAATCTGAACACTGAGAGCCTTGCTGCCATGAATAGTTTCAGAACTGAGAAAGACAGAAAGTAAAATCAAGTGCAGAATCATAGATACAGTAAGGCTTAAAGAATTCATTCTAAGTGATAAACTATGAATAAACTGAAGAAATTTAACCCAAAATGGCATAAACTTGTCTGCATTTTAAAAAATCATTTCTGGTGCTGGTACATGATTAAAGGAAGACAAAGAAAGAAAGAGATAATGTTTTGCTCATCAAGAAAAATAAGGGAAAAGAATGGCTTAAAGGAAGCAGAATAAACAGAATTTTTTAACCATCCATTCAAAGGGCAATTAGATTGTTTCCTTTTTTAGAAATTTAAATGCTATCATAAGCATCCAGGAAGGCAGGAAGAAGAAAGGTGAAAAAGGGAAGACAAATATGTTTAAATAAGTGTACAAAAATTGAAAGGAAAAAAAAATCTGAAAAAGAAAAAGAAAAATTGAAAGGCAGATATGTGGTGTTGTTGTAATGTGCCGTCGAGTCGTTTGCGACTCATAGCCCTAAACTCTGCTCTGTTCTGTGCCAATCGCAGTGTCTCCAATACACCCATCCCAATACCCCAGTCACTGAATCAATCCACCTCATTGAGGGCCTTCCCCTCCTGCGCTGTGTCTTTCTTCTCCCAGCCTTGTTTTCTTTTTCCAGGGCCGGTTTCTCCTTCTTACATGTCCAAAGTATGTTAGATGGAGCCTCAGAATCCTTGCCTCCAGGGAGCTGCCCAGTTTAACCCTTTCCAGGATGAATCTGTTTGTTTTCCTAGCTGTCCATGGTACCCTCAATAGTCTTCTCCAGCACCACAGCTCAAGGCATCAATTCTTCTATCCTCCCTAGTCACTGTCCAACTCTCTGATGCACAACAAGTGATAGCAAAGACCATGGCCTGTATCAGATGCACCTTAGTCTCCACAGAGACACCATTGTTCTTCAGTACTTTGGAGAGATCCCTAACAGCAGACTTTCCCACCGCAATATGTCTTTTAATTTCCTGGCTACTGGTGCCGAGAGTGTTGACTGTGGAGCCAAGCAAACTTAAGCTGTGAACAATCTCAATCTCTTCAGCATCCATCCTGATGCTGCCAATTAGTCCATTGGTGAGAATCTTTGTCTTCTTGATATTGAGCCTCAATCCATACTAGAGGCTGCAGTCCTTGAGCCTCTGTAGCAAGCACTTCAGGTCCTCCTCAGTTTGAGCAAGCAGGGTTGTGTCATCTGCATAATGCAGACTGTTGACAGATCTTCCACCAATCTTGACTCCACATTTCTCCTCATAGAGCCCAGCCTCTTGGATAATCTGTTCTGCATACAGGTTGAAAAGGTATGGAGATAGGACGCATCCCTGGCTTACGCCTTTGAACCATGCAGTGTTTCCTTGCTCTGTTCTGACAACTGCCTTTTGATCCAAGTATAGGTTTCGCATTAGAACAATCAAGTGTTCTGGGATTCCCATTCTTCTCAGAGTCAGCCATTTTTTGTTATGATCCACACAGTCAAAGGCCTTTGCATAATCAATGAAACACAGATATACATTACTCTGGTATTCTCTGCTTTCAGCTAACATCCATCTAACATTAGCTACAATATCCCTAGCACCACGACCCCTTTTAAAGGGGACTTCTGGCAGTTCTCTGCTGATGTGCTGTTCCAGTCGTTTTTGGATAATCTTCAGTAGAATCTTGCTTGCATGTGAAATCAATGATATTGTTCTACAGTTTCCACACTCTGTTGGGTCACCCTTCTTTGGAATGGGAACAAATATAGATCTCTTCCAGTCAGTTCAAGCTGAAGCTGAGAAATATTAAACCAAATCCACGGGAACCAAAATATTACTTTGAGTCTATCCCACCTGAATTTCAGAACCATCTCACAGGAACAGATCTGAGGCCTTGAACTAGTGTTCCAAATGAACAAAGACCAGATGAGCTGTGAGAGGATATCAAGGGTATCATCCAGGAAGAGTGCAAACGGTCATTGCAAAGACAGAAGAGGAAGATAAAACCAAAATGGATGTCAGAGGAGACTCTGAAAATTGCACTGGAGTGCAGAGAAGCCAAAGCACAAGGAAGAATTCAAGGTACTAAAGAGTAGAACAGAACATTTCAAAAGGCAACACGGGATGACAAAGCAAAATATTACAATGAAATGTGCAAGGAATTGGAGTCAGAAAATCAAAAGGGCCTAACTTGCTCGGCATTTCTTAAGCTCAAGGAAATGAAGAACAAATTCAAAACTCCAGTTGCTATATAATCAAGGATGCTTTCAGCAGAATGTTAAATGATCCAGGAAGTATTAAAAGAAGAGTCACTGTATCGAAAGGAATTGGCAGACACAGACGAATTTCATGAAATAACATATGAGCAAGAGCCTATGGTGATAAAGGAAGTTCAGGCTGCTTTGAAGGAAATAGCAAAAAATAAGGCCCCAGGAATAGGTGATATACCAATTGACATATTTCAGCTAACAGATGCTGCCCTGGATGTGTTATCCAAGTTGTGCCAAGATATCTGAAGAACAACCACTTGGCCAACTGACTGGAAGAGGGCAGACAGATATTGGGTTTAAATCTTTTGTCATCTTAAACAAATGAGAGTAATTTTTGGTTTTTCAACTAATATTTCTTTGTGTTTTAGGTGACACGATTATACAGCAAATAGATTATCAATTTAATGCTTTTGTATAATCTGTTCTGGTCACTGGTTCATTTTTTTTTTTTAACAGCCGTATTCTCCTTATTTCTATTCCGTTTGTTTTATTTCCAAAATGGCTGTATTTGTCAGACTCATTAAACCAATACGGTGAAAAGAAAACCTCCTGACTGGGAAAAAAACATTTGGCAATACAATCTCAGACAAGAGTCTCATTACAAAGTTTACAGAATACTACTGGGCCTCCCCAAGAAAAAGACTGGTAACACCATTACAATATGAGCAAAGAACATGGAAAGAATTTTCACAGAGGAAGACATTCACATGGCCAACAGACACATGAAAAAATGCTCAAAATTACTGGAAAGAACAGAAATGCAAATCAAAACCACAACGAGATACCATCTCACTCCAGCAGTAGTGGCAAAATTTAATTGTACAGTAAGCAATAATGTTGGAGAGGATGTGGAGAGATAGGAACTCTCATACATTGTTACAAAGATACAACCACTCTGGAAGGCAGTCTGGAATTTCCTCAAAAAAGATGAACATTGAGAATTCACAAGACAGGTACTCCAGAGCTAGGAATATACCCCAAGAAAATCAGAACTGAGACAAAAACGGACACTTGTAGACTGGCCTATGTTCACAGCAGCACTATGCACCATCACAAGAATAATATGGAAACAGGCCAAATGTCCAATCACAATCTAACAGATTGAGAAACTGTAGTATATTCACATGATGGAATACTAAGCAGCACTCAGGAGCAACTATTTTGAAAATTACTATATAACTTGGGAGGGGCTGGAGAGCATTAATGCTGAGTGAACTAAATCTCATAAAAACAAATACTGCATTAGTCTATTATTGCAGAAATAAAAAGATAACTAGTAAAATGTGTATGAGGATCCAAGGGGTATAGGGTGGGAGCAGAGGCATGATGATGGGCATGAGGTTAATCATAGGGTCACACAGTATGGTGGGTGGAGGGAGAGGTGGAAAAGGAAATTGAAAAGATCCAGCGGGGATCCGGGAAAAAAGGTTAATAGTGGTCATAGTTCAATGATGACTAATTTTTAAAAATATAATGAATAGGAATGATTGTGTGGCACACAATATGAATGGAGGAGAGTGTGAAACACAAAAGTATACAAACTTTGTAAGCAAATCAAAACAAAATAAAATTTCATTGTGTTTTAGGTGACAAGTTTACACAGCAAATTATATTCTCACTTAAATGTTTTTACATAATCTGTTCTGTGTCATTGGTTCCACTTTTAACAATGTGCCAGCATGTTCCTTATTTCTATTCTGTTTGGTCCATTTCCACTAATCTGGCTTCCCAGTCCCCATTATCTTTTCATCTTTGCATTAGGGTAAAGATTAGCCATCTGGTCACATACAGCTGATTATTTAAAGCAGCACAGTACTGAGGGGTGACATCACTGTTATTTTGCTGAAAGGTAACCTCTGGTTGGCTTAGTTCCAGTTCAAAGAGTATATCAGGCTGATGGTCTCAAGTGGTCCTTTAGCCTCTACTGATACAGGGCATTTGGTCTTTTTTACGACTTTAACTTTTGTCCTACATGTTTCCTCTCACTCTATCTGGGAGCTTCGAATGGGTCCCTGGTAAGAACAGCAGGTAATGGTACTCAGTAATTCTTCTAGTCTTGAGCTAAACAAGGTCCTGGCTTATGGTATGCATGTTTTATTAATCATATGGACTAGTTTCTTCTTTGAGTCACTGAGTTTTTTATTCTTTTATTCCAGATGAGTAGAAAGGAAGAGTCATATCTTAGATGGCTACTTGCAAACTATTGTCACCCCTGAAAATATTCATCAAACTCATTATCTTTATGAACCATGTTTTATCTATTAACCAAGTTGGCTTATGATCCTAAACCTTTTAACTGAGTAAACCAATTCTACAAGATATTTGGATATATAAAAAAATTTCCATTACTATACTTCGTGCTTTATATTTATTATTATATATTTTATTGTACATACCCCAATATGCCTACACTTACATAAGCATGTACTCATGTATGCCTTCCTAAGTGATAACATTTTCTTAGTACATAAAACCACTCCAACTCATAGCAACCTCATGTGCCTCAGCACAGAACTGTGCCCCAAAAGGTTTTTAATAGCCAAGTTTTCAGAAATAGTTCAGTGGACCATTCTTTCAAGGTGAAGACCTCAACCACCAACCTTTCAGTAAGCTAAACTTGTTTTAACTATTTGCACCACTGAGGGCCTCTTTCGTAGTACATAAGGGTTCACAAATACTTGCCATTGATTTGTCCGTGACTAATGCATTCCAAATGCTTGTCATGGCTTGTCGAATACCAAGGTTGGGATCAAACTGGTAACGATAAAGACGTGGAACTAGCTGAGGCAGAAAAGGCGCAAGCTGCTCTCCAGCTCTGGTAGCAATGACATTAAAACCAAAAGCAGCACCCTAAAACAATAGTAAGACGAGAGACTCTTAACACATTTGTACTAGAAAAATACTAACACCTTAAATACATGAGGACCACATAATTTTGCTAAATGTGTCCTTGAACAGAGCATGATTTGCTGGGCATCCCACCGTGCTAATGCACGCCAGCAGCTGTATGGTAGTCTGGCTACCTCTAAGGAGACAAAGATGTTTACCCAAGGCACTGTGCATAAACTGCCACAGTCTGCCAGTACATTAACATTTGGGTTCAGATTGGAGTATAAAATAAAAACTATGTGATAGAAACTTACCTTCCTAGAGTTCCACATGGCATGGTGATTGGCTAAATTCATAAATTTATACACCAGATCTGGCTGACTGAGATCACTTGCCAGAGAGCAAAGCTCCTTGTAGGTAGAAATGCCCTGGCTTGGAGAAGAAGGGGGGGGGAAAGATGCAATGATGTCTTTCTCAATCTGTAGTCTAAAGCAAATTACCAGTTATCACCAATAATAATTACTAGGGCATGGTTTTAAAAATAATTTCACTAATTTTCTAATGACTTGACTTTTTAAGTCTCTCAGGCCTGGTTTAAATTGTTTTTTGTCAGATATTCTTCTATGGTATAGTACTGGTCTGTGCATTGCTGTATGTGGTTGCTGTGATGCTAAACACTGTGACACTGATGTGGCAAATGGTGGACAGTGTTTGGTGGAGCTTCCTGATCAAAACAAGCTTGGAGGTAGGAGGGCATCCACTTCCAAAATGGCTTGCCTCCAGAAACTCTATGAACATGGAGAAACGACCAAAGTTATACAAGTGTTCAGATCTTTCATTCCTAGAGCCACTAGGAGTCGTCTACAACTCGACGGCACTTAACAACAACAATAATTTCCTAATATTGAGTAATACTGTTATCATTATGAAGACAGAAAATTAAGCTGAGAATAATAACAATAGTAACATAATTCCATTGTCAATTGTGTTTGAAACTCCCCCGGGCTTTTGTTGGTAGATGACTCAAACGTGCCTGTCTTTCCCCAGGTAGCTGGGGTTCTGGCAAGGTGGATCTATCAGAAATTTTGTCCTTACACTGCTCTCCCAAAATTATAATACTTATTTCAAGACATCTATCTTCTCTAAATCTATTGTTAGGCCACCTTAAACCTAAATCCTGATAAGAACATCTTTTGAACTCTATTAACTTTTCTCTGAACAAATAAAATGGTAACAACCTAGATCATTTAGTATTATTTTGTAAAAAGCAAACACTAAAAACTCAATGGTTAAGTTAGCAAACTAAGTTAAAGCCAAGTAACTTCCTACTTTTAAAAATATAGCTATAAAATGCTTTAACATTAGCAGTTGGTGTAGAAGTCTACTGGCAGAGTAAAAAGAAGGAAAACAGCATCCAATGTGAAATTGTGAAAGCTATGAGAGAACATGAAAGAGAATTAAGTGTCTGCTTTCTCATGCTGCAGAATACAGTGAAGCAGGACTCTGAACAGACAAGCATCACTGAGTGAGAAAGAACAGAAAGGGCAACCTAGACGAGGATTCTTAGAGGGAAAGCAGTGATATAAAATCACAGTGAAGAAGAGAAAAATCAGTAACTAGATTACAGTTCTCTGCCTTCAGGAAGACTACAACTCATTAAGAAAAATGAAGGGAAAGACAATATATAAGGAAGTGATCCGCACAGTTACCACAAAAGAAAGGAATGACATGAAGAGGTACATAAGAGATACAGAGGCAACAGAAGTAAACAATTTTATTACTAACACCTTCCTGCAGTAATAACATTAATCTACCAGTGGCTATGTAAGCAAACAGGCAAAAAAGACAGATAAACAAGCTGAAGGGACTATACCCAAGACCATACACAGACTTGGCAAATATTTCTATACAGTAAATTTCTATGCAGTAAATATATCCATGTACATGTTGCTATGTGCTACTGCATTGTAACTGACTTGTAGTTGACCCTCCAGTGCATTTTCAGAGGCAGTAAATTGCATGAGAGGAGACTGACCATTCTTCTAAGGAGCAGCTGGTGGATTCAAACTGCTTACCTTTGGGCTTGCAGAGAAGTTTCTTACCATTGGGCTGCCTAGTCATGTACATGTTGTTGTTCAGTGCCTTTGAATCAAGTCCAACTCATAGTAGCCCTATGAACAGTAGATTTGAATCCTCTCCTATACTGTGTCATGCTGACTATCTCCGACATCCTCAAGCCTACTGCTCCAGCCCCTACGTCAATCCACCTGGTTGAGGGTCTTCCTCTCCTTCATTGTCCATCCATTTTCCATCCCAAGCATGATGCTTACCAAGCAACCCATGTATATATATTGTTTTTGTTGTGTGCCATAGACTCAGAAACAACCCATAGCTGGTTTTCAGAGGCAGTCTAATTGCACAGGAGATTGCCCAACCTCCTCCCATTCAAATCCACCAGCTGCTCAGCAGAAGGATGGGCAATCTCCTCCCATGCTATTAACTACCTCTGAAACATCCTGAAGCAATGAATTTCTGGGCCTCTGAATGACTAAATGACAGCTTCAGAGGACATCAAGGTCAACTGGCATAATCCAGTGCCCAGTGCACAAAGACAATGTTCCACATTCTACTTTGGTAAATAGTGACTGGGGTCTTAAAAGCTTGCAAAGAGCCATCTAAGGTGCAACTACCAGTCTCTCGCTGTCTAGAACAACGAGAGAAGAATAGTACAGACTTACAGGAAATGCTTAGTCCAAAGGATTAACAGGCAGCAAACGACAAATGGTGGCAAGGTTGTGGAGAGATTGGAACTCTTATTCACTGCTCGTGGAAATATAAGATGGTATAGCCACTATGGAAGGTGGTCTTGCACTTTCTCAAAAAGTTGGAAATAGAAATACCATTTGACCCAGCAGTTCCACTACTAGGAAACCAGAGCCACAATTCAAAAAGATGTATGCACATCCATATTTATTGCTGCATTTAAACAACAGCAAAGAGATGGAATCAACCCAAGTGCGCATAAATAAACGGATAGAAAAGCTATGGTACATCAACACAATGGAATACTACACAACAATGAAATAGTAAAACATTACACAACATGGGGAAGCCTTGAGGACATTATGCTAAGTGAAATATCTCAGTCACAAAGGATAAATAGTACATAACACTGTTATAAAAGAGAACTGACATAGAAGTTTGGGGAGGGGATGGGGAAAGAGAGTGGCTAATGAACACTGCAGTAGAATAGATGAAGGGAAGAGCAGTCTAAAAGGATTACATGATTATGCATTTTATGTATTAAAACAATCTGGAATAAGAGGTACATTTGCTTTGTAAGTTTTCATTTAAGTCACAATTAAGTTTATAAGAATCAAAACACCACAGAGTAAAGTTCATAAATGATAGATTCCAAACTACTCAGAGGAGTTACCATAAAAATTCAGTGCAGTGAATGTTAAGCAGCTTGCTTTGCAATCAGATTGCCAGGGCAGGACTCAACTCACAGAGGTGGGATGGTTCTTAGTTTAATCTCTCTTAACTGCTCTCAGTTCAATTTTACATTGACTCCTAGAGGAGCTTCCAGTGACAAGTCACTGGGGAGGATATAAATACTTAATGAGAGGACATCAAGGTTTGGCCTCATGTCTCAAGGTAGCAACTCCAAATAATCTTCCAGCATACAAAGTCATGTCAGAGATCATTTCTGTAGGTTTTTGCACAAAAATGACATTTTCCTATGTGACTCTGCTAATAAGAGTACCTATGAAAATTAACTTCATGGATACTCTATCAGATAAAAACATTTAAATATCTCTACATTAAGTGATCGATGGTCTAGCATACTTACCCATCTGGTGTTTTCCCAAGGGCTCCCCCTTGAAACACTACTGTCTCTCCGGAAACATCATGTTTAGCTCTAAACCCAAACAGTAGCAAAGGATTTCAATTAACCACAAATGTTTCATATCCAGGATTCAATCAATCATTTACAAACTGATTAAAAATACTCTTTACTCAAGTATTTACTGTGTGCAAATACAGAAGTCAATTTATCTTTCCTAATAGATTGGGAACTTAATAAATGAAGTATAGAATGAACAATTAGTAGACTTGGAAGATACTCCCTCCAAAATTACGCCGGCTTACATGTTGTCATAAAGTGGGAACCAATTACAAGAATGATTACTCCTTCATATACTCTTCAGGAACCAGACCATGGCTTCCTCTTCCCAGAAAGCCACGCTGAATTAAATGATGTCACATGAAAAATTATCCTTCCAACAGAGAAGGCAATGTAAAGCAGCACCTAATTACAAGAATGATTATCCTGCTCTCTACAAGGACCAAAATATAAAAATATTCCAAGATTCCTTTCCAATTTTAATGTTCATTTAGTCAACAATAAGTAAGGTACTTTTCTGATACAATGCTTTAACTACTGGCTCTCAATATATCCCTGTCCTGTACATTCAATTTGAAATTCTCATGTTACAGTACCTTTTGCCAGTCATAAGTGTTTCCACAAGTGTAGAGACCAATTCTTGTTGATCTTGTTCATTGCCCAGTTCATAAACCAACCCCAAGCCTTTTGAGGCAACATCCTGGCTAAGTTCTATCAAAAAGTTAGAATAAAAAGTATTAGTTTAAGAAAATATTGTTCACTGGCTATCAAGTCAAATTTCTTAATAAATTTTAATAACGTTCATTTTTAATAATTTGCTAATTAAAATTAATGTTGATAGTTTTATCATAGTGAAATCATAATGATGGTATGAGAGTAAAGATACAAAACAAAATCAAGTCACTTATTTTGTTAAAAATGTAGTAAATTACCTCAGGGGACATGACACCTTTTGAGTCACTATAAATGAGACTACACAGAGGATCCAACTCACAAACCAAGACAACTGACAGATCACAGCATATAGTTCAGTGACAGAGTTACAATGGATTGTGAATTGTACAAACACAAAGATCAAATAGCCTCACTAGAACTCAAGATATTTATACTAAGGACAATGACAGACTGTACATTTAATACAACATTGCTATTTAAATGTCTAACACATAAACATTCATTCTCTCCTGGCTTAAGTCACAAAGAAAATGTCAGAAATAGAAAGAGGCTATTATTTAGTAGACAAAGTAATTTCAAGAAGGTCTCAGCTCCTTTTTTAACACTAAACTGTTACAGTCAAAAGTAACAAATATTAGATACTATGTGACATCCTAATCAGAAGCTCTGGTTTTAAATCACTAGCTTAGTGGGTATTATCATTAATACGAATAGGTTTAATTCTAACCATAATTCAAAAATAGCTTTCTATTTTATCCATTAATTCAAATGTAAAACTGTTATAGTCACAGAATTAGATTTCTACTAATTCAAAATATAAATTTAACAAAGTTCAGAAATAAAATATTTACCAACCACCTACCATCACTTTCTGAAAGAATCGAAACAAATGCACTTTGAATCTCTTTCAGATGAGACTGAATGAGGGAGAGGGGGGAAAACGCATTATTAAACTGAAATGCTAGTTCTTTGGAAGACTAATAATCCTACTATCAGAATACACAAGATTATAAAATCTTGCAATTTGAGGAAATGACAAACCTGGGGTTCTTACATGGGACAATACTGTCATGTTGTTGTTTTGTGCCACTGAGTTAACTATGACTCACAGCAACCCTGTGAAGAACAGATCTAAACCTGACCCTTCCTACACCGTCCTCATAATCTCCACCATGCTCGGGTCCATTGTTGCAGTCATGATGTATTTTTCTAAGGACTGGCACATCTTGTTAAGGTGGTTCAAAATTATCTGAAAGCTGTACCACTAGTCATCTCTCCATGTAATCTGACCTTTTTCTAGTTGGAGCCTTCTCATCCTTACCACTTCTGACTTCATCCTTCAGCTTAACATCTATCAGGCCACTGTATTTCATTCCTTCAGGTGTTCCTGATTACAAAGTATCTACCACCAGATAATGAAGGGCCCTCACCTCAATACTGGCCCTTACTTCCCATGTTTTTTTCTACTTTTCAATTGCTAATGTTTCCCAAGTGGTTTCCAACAGCACAATCCCATCTAGAGCATGACTTACCTTCACTTCTTTATGGGTACTCAGTTTTCTCACAAGGGACAGTAGCCAGATGCAGGCTGCTTGTCTAACATGTGGGTTGGGGCTAACAATTTGTTTGTTTAAAATTAAGTCCAACACCCATGCAACCACATCATTCACTTTGGCTCCTAGAAAAGTAAAGTTAAGAACAAAATTAGTTCAGAAAAGTTTCCTGAAAAAAAAACAACAAATTTACACCAATATTTACTCAAGAGTCCTCACACCAACCAGTGGAGATAAAACTGTAACAGAGTAGAATACACCATCTGATACGTACATTTCCACAGAGATCAGACAGCTAACAGCTAGGCTGTTGTGTACTCAGAGCAGAGATCACACATCTGAGTCAAAGAGGAGAGAGGCAAATATTTGGAGTCATACAGCCAACAAACAGGCCAGGGACCTCACCAACGAGGACATACACCCACAACCAACCAATCTCACACCCATGCAAACAAATCAACATTGACACGATATAACATACTGAAGTCTAATAGCTAAGTTTTTAAATAAGATGAAGGGACCAATAATCATTCCTTTCATAGCCCTGCATAAGTGATATATCCTTTTAGAGATGTTCAGGTAGCTACTTCTCCAGAATGAGAAGTTACCTCCACTCTCTACAATATTAATTTCTCTATTATTCTTTATCATTTCCCAACTTAAAAGAAATAAAACTTCATTTGACTTCACCCTCTGCCACCAGCTACCATCCACTTCTTTCGTTACTTCTTAATTTCTTACTCTCAACACTATTGACATTTCCAGCTAGGTAATTCTTCATTAAAGGACTGTTCTGTGCTTTAGAAGATATTTAGCAATATTCCAGGTCTTTACCCACAAGATACCAGTAGTACAAATACAGAAAAAATTCTTCATAGCATTTATTATTCTTTAGGAAGCTGTTCATGTTCCAAGGTTATTTTTACTTTAGTCTCTCTCCCAGTAGGCGTAAGTTGCATGAGTAGAATTTCCTACTATTTTGGTCTTTTCAACCTCATTAATAACCATGCTCAGTGAGTCTGGCTCATATTAAGCACCTAGTTCTTAATATGTTAACATATTGTTACTAGTCAATAAGGTGCTAGTTAATATGCTATTGCTGCTGTGTGCCCTCCTCCAGCTGGAAATGACCCACAGCTGACCCTCCAGGAGGTTTTCAGAGGCAGTAAATTGCACAGGAGGAATCCGCTCATCCTTCTCTGATGGAGCAGCTGGTGGATTCAAACTGCATGCCTTTGGGATTGCAGCACAGCTTCTTACCACTAGGGCACCAGAGCCCCCTAGTAAATATATGAAAATTAATTTACAGTACTCTGTGGTTATGAAGTGGCTGCACATGTAGATAGGTAATTTGTTTCCATAGGAGGGGGAAAATATAAATTGTAGATTTATCATTATCCGCAATGAAAAAGATGAAACAAAACATAGTTCACTCACTTGGAAAATTAAATAATCACTCCTTTGAGTATTCTGTTTACTCATTCTTTCTCTCATTAAGCATGCCTTAACATCCAAAATCACAAAACGGATTGACACAATGACTCAACAATGGGCTTGAGCACGTGAGAGATGGTGAAGTGGACACAAGAGAGGGAAAATCCAGATCTGTTATTCACAGGGGTGCTATGAGTTCAACTCAACAACACCTAACAACAACATCAAAAATCTGATTCCTTCTGTATATACTGCTTCACTTTCCTACTCAGTTTTCTCCCTAAATGTTCTTCTCTTTTCAGTTTTCATTAACTGTAATTATCTCCCAAAGCTCAGTCTGGAACCTTTTTTACTCTGTCTTCATTAAGTTTAGGTTATTGAGTATAAAGGATATTGTTATTCCCACCAACAATGTAAAAGAGCTCCTATCTTGACACATCCTCTCCAATATTTATTACTTGCTGTCTTAAACTTTACCACTGCTACTGGAGTGAGACGGTATCTCATTGTAGTTTTGATTTGCATCTCTCTTATTGCCAGTGATTTGGAGCATTTCTTCGTATGTCTGTTGGCCATTGGAATATCTTCCTCTGTGAAAATTCTTTCCATGTCTTTTGCCCATTTTGTAACTGGATTATCAGACTTTTTATTGTGGCGGTCCAGGAGATTTCTAGAAACTTTCATTATAAGACTCTTGTCTGAGATGGTATTGCCATTACATTGTTGGTGGAATTGTACAATGATACAACCACTCTTGAAGGCAGTTTGGCGATTCCTCAAAAAGGTAAACATAGAAATTCCTTATGACCCATATATTCCATTGCTTAAAATATAACCCAAGAAAATGAGAACTGAGGCTTAAACAGAAACTTGTACACCAGTGTTCACAGCAGCATTATTCACCACTACAAGAACATGGAAACACAGCCCAGTTCAATCACAAACAAATGGATCAAGAAGTTTTGATACATCCATACAATGGAATACTATGCAGCACACAGGAACAATCATTTTGTAAATTACTACCTAACTTGAGAGGGACTAGGAGCATTATGCTGCGTGAACTCAGTCCCACAAGGACAAATACTATATAAAACCATTACTGTTGAATGAGTATGAAGATGCAAGGCAGAGGAAAGAAGCAAGGGGTGAGGATGGGGGTGGGGTGTTAATCACAGGGTTGCACAAGTCGATGGGTAGGTGGGGAGAAGGATATGGGAAGGATCTTTTATGAAAAACAATGTAATCAAACTTTGTAAATAAATCAAGAGTAATACAAAAGAAAAAAAATGATGTTGTTAGTAATTAAAATGGAAATAAAAAGGGAGAATAACTTTAGAGATTACAGAAGACTTTTAGTTTGGATGATGAGAGGAAGGAAGGATAAGAATTTCATATTCACATACACAGAACTGGTATCTGCAGGAACTCTGTGTGAAAATACTTAATAAGTTGTTTTAAAAAAGCCTGGCAATTCAACATAATGGTTCTAGGATTAAGATATAAATTTAAGGATCATCAACAAGTTAATGTCAGATATGGTATTGGTAAACTGGAATGTCCCAACACTAATAGACAGTGTGAGACAAGAAAAGAGGTAGTGAAAGAGAATGACACATTGTCAGAAGCAAGAAACCAGCGCGGGGGCGGGGGGGGGTGTCTTGCAAAAACAGAGAGAGAGTTCTAAGAAAGTGTAATGTCAAAAATTTCAGAGAGCATATAATTTAGTAACTGGATTTCAAAGAAAAGAAAGCTGTGCCTCAACATTAGATTTTTGTTATTACTGTTGTTGTTAGGTGTCATCGAGTTGCACAGGACCTATAGTGACAACTGAAACCCCTTTTTATCCTCACAATTTCTGACACACACGAGCCCACTGCAGCAGTCACTGTGTCAATCCATCTGGGTTGAGGGTCTTCTTCTCTTCGGCCAATCCTCCAACTTTCCAATCATGATGTCCCTTCTCCAAGGAATAGAAACATGCCCGAAGTACATGAGATGAAGCTCCATCCTTGCCTCCAACTGGTGCTCTGGTTGCACTTTTTCCAAGACATATCTGTTTGTTCTTTTGGGAGTCTATGGGATATTCAGTACTCTTCTCCAACACCACAGCTCAAAGGCATCAATATTTATTCTATTATCTTTATTCACTGTCAAGCTCTCAGATACATAGCACAAGAGTTTCTTAATGATTATAAATGGATGAGCTGAATACTCATTACCTATGAGAGGAGTGTACTCTTCCTCAGTCACTAGCCAGGCATCTCGAGCAGCTACTGAACTAGTTCCTATTGCAGCACTGGTGATGGCTTCACCTATAGTGAACTGAAGTTCTATCTGCTTAGCCTGCAGCAAAGTAAACAAAAGTAATGAACATAAAAAAGTACATGTCCACAAAACTCATATTCACAGAAAAGTTACTTAAAAGTTTTCTATGTCAGAATACTTTTCACTTCATTCATTGTCTGGTTTGCTTTCAGCTAACTCAAGTCCTCAAAAACAGGGTAGAACAAGTGGCTAGGACAACATAGTAACAACTACATTTTTCCAACCTCACAGTGTACCTTTTCTCTCTAAAGAACCACTAAACAGTAGTATTTAACTAATTACACTACTGTGTATATGTGAAATGTTCTCTTATAAAAGGGTAAAAGGAACTAAAAAAAATTAAAATAACCACTTTAGAACTTTTCCTAGTTAACTATTAAGACATTTTTGGGTTGTGGCTTATGCTATTTACTTTCAATTTAAAACTGTAATGGCTCCATCTTATTTTTATGTTTCCAGCTTCCCATATATTTGATGATTTCTAAACTCTTAAGATCAAGATTACAATGGCAAGTTAATAAACCTTTATTCATTTAAACAAAACTAGAGGACATCAACAACAACAAAAAAAGAACTAAGATTAAAAGGCTCTCATTAAGTTTTTCCTCAAGTGATTACAATGTCAACGACATTCAAGGAAAATCTCATATGGATTTAATTCAAAATAAAACAAGGACAATTCACTTTAAGAATTTCAAAAGCTAAATTTTAGAAAGAGCTCTATCACTCAGTCCTTAGATCCCACCCAACTCTCTCTTTATTCTTCAAAGCCCAGCAAAAACATTTCCAAAACAACATGCACAACTTTTTGAGGGCAAATTAATCATGCCCTTTGTGATTCCACAACCTTATATGCACACCAATATTTACTGATGTTCAACCATTAGCAAACAACTGCTATGCACCCATGTTACAATGATAAGCAAAGCAGACTCCTGCCTTCAGTCTAGTGGACAACTGGAAACTGTGATAAATGCTATGAAGATAAAGTACAGAGGACAACTAAAAAACTGAATCTAGTCTGCAGGTCAGAGCAGTATTTCCAAAGGAGCACAGCAAAGATTTGAGATGGAATAAAGAATGATGTTTTAAAAAACTCAGAGCAAAGAAGAGCTAAAAGGCTGGGGTATAAAAATGGGAGTGACAACAATCAAAGCTGGAGTGGACAGGGGCCAGATCAAGTTGCGCTAAGGCAGTTATCCACAATTACAAGTTATCTCCATTCGTAGATCTTTCCACAACACAGGGCATCCAGAGGACAGAAGCCAAGTCATCAGATGGGAGAAGAACTGGCATCCAAGCATCCAATCCCTGTATCTGGCTGACAGACTAGGTTATCCCTTCTACAGTCTATTCTGCTCACCAACTGTAACAGAGGTACATAATAGTGTGCTTGGTAATGGTAGAACTTCAGCAGACTTGCTATTAAAACCATGTGCTACTCAAAAGTTATCAAAAAGAGACCTGAACACACAGATAAAATAGTCAGCACTATGCCTAGCATGGTGATGAGGCCAGGGCTGACACACAAGAAGGACCACTTATAAATAGAATCTCACAGCATTCAAAATCATCAACAACAAAAATATCTTTTGTTTTAACAATGAACAATCAGATAGCAATATAACTACCTCCACAGAATCCATCAGACCTTGCAAGAGGAGTTTCTGATGAGGAAATGCACCATCCCCAACTGGAAAATACCCCAAGGTTTGGATTGCTCGTTCTTTCATCTGGAAAAACAAGGAGAATTTTTTTCTGTCAAATACAGTGTTTTACCCTTGAACAGTGTTTCAAAAGAGGAAAAGGCAGGCAGAAGAAATCTCTAATTCACCAATGTGTACGTTTTTATAAAAGTATCCAATGCTACAGTATATACCTTATAAGATACTAAGGACAGAAAAGCATAAACCAAATCCATTAATGATGCAGTCACAAAAGAAAGCAAGCTAGACTGTAAATTATTATCTTTCAAAGTACAACAGTTAGGGATGTGAGTTCTGGGATCAAACCATTGCTCAGTGAATTAAACAGTGTTTACAGGTGTGTGACCTTTAGGCAAGTTACTTCATCTCGCTCTGGCTCTCTTTTCTCTCTTTAAAGACACAGAGAAAGCCTTCAGCAGAATTTATTAGAAGATTCAATTAATGCATGTATGCATGTAAAGTATGTAAATGTTGCTTGGTACATTACAAACACTCATTAATAGTAATGACAAATTAGTAACAGCCAATAAAAATCACACTGTACGGTCTTTTCTGTTTTAATCAATGGCTAAGCCAAGATCAAGTTATTATATGTTATTAAACTTGTTTGATCACAAAGAACATGTTTTAAAGACTATAGAAAGTCTTAGCTAAAAGTACAAGGCTGTAAACGCTCCTTTCCCTCAGCATGTTCACAATACTTATTGATTCTGTAAATCCCACCTAGCAGTGGGAGGTAAGATTTATATTTTTTTTCATTAATTTTAATGAACATTTACAGAGATTTTGGATTTCCATTCATTCATTGTTGCACGTTTCTCCCTGTCCAACCCTTTCTCCAGTTCACTCCTCTCTTTGAAAAGTAAAAGAAAAATTCTTTCATTGGTATACAATCCCCCCGCACACCCCCACCGACCCAAGTACACTCCAACACTTGAGGTAAAAAAATTACAAAATCAATCAATCATAAAATGATTGTCAATCATCAATTAAAACTTTACTATCCATCTAATGTGGTGATGACAAATGAACTACCTGATGTTTTGGATCCCTTATTAAAGCCTAAGAAAACTGTGCAAGTCCTAAACTGGAATCCCTAGGTCAGACGGTACATATAAGGTGTGTACAAGTTATTCCTATCCTAAAACCATTTATCCTATTCATTACAATTAAGTTTTGCTCATTTAAATATCTATGAAAAAGTTTCAAAAGAAAAGAAGGTAGAGACTTGCCTTGCTTGTTTCTTTACTGGAGGGTATTCTATTTAGTAAGCTTTCTACAAGATGCAATTTGGTAAAGCCAGAGCCCTCACTGGGGATTGGGAGTGGACCATTTCGGCCAATTTCACCCAGGGCTGTGCAGGCAGCAATTGCCAGGATGGGTGATGTACTATCCAAAAACGAGCCTGTAAACACATTCAGACAAAGTGGAGAATAACACACACTACTGAAACACTTTTAAACACCAACAATGCATTCAAGAATTTTTTTTAAATAAGCAAAAATTAAAAAGAAAAATCTATGATATCTTCTAGTTGATATTTTACTCAACAATAAAACACCAAGGCCACATGGCAGAGAGTAGTGTCCTTTATATTATTTAAATATTCTCCTCCATAAAAGTACAGCATTATTGTTTTTCACTGCTGTCAAGTCAGAACTGACTCACAAATGACCCTCCAGCTAGTTTTCAGAGGCTGTAGTGTGCACAAGAAGAGACTGCCCATCTTCGTCCTATGGAACAGCTGGTGGATGTGAACTGAACTTCCTGCCTTTGGGTTGGCAGCACAACCCCTTACCACCAGGCCACCAGAGCTCCTTACAGCATTATTTTTGCTGTTGTGTGCCATCAAGTTGGACCTAACCCATATAGCCAATCCTCTGGCAGGTTTTTGGAGGCAGTTAATTACAAAGAAGGAGACAGCCAATCTTTCTTCCATACAGCAGCTGGTGGAATCGAACTGTATACCTTTGAGACTGCAGCACAGCATCTTACCACTAGGCCACCAAAGCTCCCTACTGCTACTAAAAATGCAGGAATTATTTAGCATAAACTAAGTTTTTGAGGAAATCTTCTCTTTAAATACAATGCTGTAAAAACAGCTATATTAAATCTTAGCATAATTCAAAAACATTAACACTCCAGTGAGCATTAAGTCATGAGTTACCTATTGTTTCTGTGGCACTCTGAATGAGTTCCTCTTGTTCAGGCAGAAAATCAGCATTTGTCTCCAAGTCTTGTTTGTCTGCCATTCTCATTTTCTTTTTAGACAAATACCTTCCCACTGTGAATCCCAATGCAAGCAAGGATCCATGCTGTATCTCTGGGCTCTGAATTTAACAATATATTATTATCAATCTCTTTCTCACATGCCAAGAATACAATACTGAAGTAACAGGACATTCATTTCTCCAGTAAAACACAAGGTCAAAGAGGAAAGTGATCATGGAGAGTCTAATAAATCAGAGAACAAGGAAAGTTTTAAGTTTCTAAGATAGAAAATTCAAAAACATTAAACTGATTCTTGATTCACTTAAAAACTTGGATCTCTAATCCATGCTCACTGCTACAATCTGAGTGAGGTGTTTCTCTCATGTCCTTAAGTTTCTACAGTTTCTTCCTTCCCACTTACAGCATTTACACAGCTACACTAACTCAGTTTTCAAGTATTATTTCTGTTGCCAACAACATACAATAAGCTGACTCTGTCAATACCTTTAACACAAGGCAAACAAAACATTTCAAAGTTCATAGTTTCAAGAGTTTATTTTTTTATAAGCACAACAGTACAGAGAAGCAGACATAGAGGAAAAAAAAGAAACCAATATTACTCACCTATTATTGGGAAATTACAGATATTTACTCACCACTGTATTTGCTACAAGGTGCCCTGGTAGGGTAGTGCTTTGCATATATTAGGCTGCTAATATCAACCAAATGTTGATGGTTTGAGTCTACAAGAAATTCTATGGGGAAAAGATGGCTGGTGTCTTCCTGTAAAAATTTATAGCCTCAGAAACCCAATGGAGGTTCCCTGTGCGTTGGACTCAACTTTGGCAGTGAGTGTGGGTTTTGGTTTGGTATTATTAACATTAACATAGCATCTGTAGACATGAGGCACTCAAATTTGCACATAATCATTTCTTATTAATATTAACAGCAATTCATATTACAAATGCAGACACAAAAGGTAAAATTAGACACCTTTGTAAAAGCCCTTCTTGTCTCCCACAAAAAAAAAAAGACAAAAACAGTAACTTACATGATTGTCTTTTGTAGTCTTTATAAGCTGCTCTATCAATGACTTCAACTCATTTCCTGACACTGTAGATACCACCACAGAGTAAAACAATGCTGCCAGTTCACGCATCTCTTCTTTACTGCTATTCATCAGACTCTAAGATGGTTAAGTAAAAGAAATATATACATTATATACATACACATACACAGACACAGATACACACACAGACACTATCACCCTGCTAATAACATCTAACATTTAAAACTAAAAGGAAAAAATAACATTATAATATTCAACCTACTAGTATCTAAAAGACCACTATTAGTAGGTCTTTAGAAAACAACTAATAAAAAAAATGTATTTTTTCAAAGAAAAATAAAAGTTCAATAATATACTAAAAACCTTAACTTCCTTTTACATCAAATATACAAAAAACACAAAACAGGTAGAATTAATAATACACAAGTAGTCTAAAACAGAAATGAGTATATTTTCTTCTGTAAAGGGCCAGTTCTATAAATATTTTAAGCTCTGAAAACCACAGAGTCCTTTGTTTTAACTACTTAACTCACTGTACTAAAGTAACCACTGAAATGTGAACCGAAGAGTCTAGCTGTGTGTCAATAAAGCTTATTGTATGATTATTATAATTTTCAGGTGACATAGAATGTTATTCCTCTGATATTCTTTCTTATCATTTAAAAACCATAGAAAATATTCTTAACTCATAGGTCACACGAAAACAAAAGGCAAGTCTGTTTTAGCCCATGGGCTACAGTTTGTCAACCTCTAATTTAAATAAACAAAACTCAGAATGAAAGGGGAAAACTCCTTTTTAAATTACAAGAATTTCATGAGAGGACAATTTACAGAAAAGTACAAAACTCACCTCTCAGAAAATTACGTTCATGTTTTCACACTTTACAAGACAATGATCACTTTTATAATTCAAGCTGCACTGTCCAAAAAAAGAGGACCTCTGATGACCTAATGGTAGGAAATGACACTGCAATCTCACATTTCAAATCCACCAACTGCTCCAAAGGAGAAGGATGGGCAATCTCCTCTCCAGTGACTAAATACCTCAAAAAACTCACTGAAGGGTCAACTATAGGTCAGTTCTGATTTGATGGTATTTTAAAAACAACTTTCCAAAAAGAACTGCATTATGTAACACAAGAGTTACAGAAAATTTTATAAGCCATATTTAAACACACACACAAAAAATTATTGTTTATCTGAGATTCAACTCTGAGAACGTGTATTTTTATTTGCTACATCAGCCAACCATACTGATGTAATTACAGGACAAAAACATGGTATTGGTAAGCATGGAAACTAATACAACTCATATAGAGGGTGTGACACTATCAAAATTATAAAAGTACGTGTTCTCTGGCCCAGTAATTCCACTTCAAGGGAATCCATCTAAATTTGAACTTCCTTACATAGGAAAAGATAGGTTATTCATTATAGTAGACTAGAAGCAACCTATATGGCCAACAATAAAGAACTAGAATAAACTGTAGTCTATTTATACAATGACAAGGCTGCTTAAGGAATGAGGATGCTCTTTCTGCACGTGAACATAAAGAGTTCTCAGATCTACCGCTAAAATGAAAGAACCTAACAACAGAGATAATATATTGCTTTTTATATAAACAAACGCAGAGAAACAGTAATGTTTGTTTTAACTTGGTTTTGTTAAGGCGGTTTTCTGGTGGCCTAGCTCCTCCAACGCAAATCCACCAACAGCTTCTGTGAAAGAAAAATGGGCAGTCTCCTCTAGGGCGATTTACAGCCTCAGAAACACGCCTGGAGGGTCAGCTATGAGTCAGTTCTTACTCCACTGGCAATGAGCTGAGTGAGTATACTTATAATTCTGAATCTACACAATTTATAAATAAGTTATGGTCTTCATATGTCAGAGGGGAAAGAAAACAGAATGGAAACTGAGGACTTTGGGAAGACGGGAGACAATTATCGACAGGAGCCATTTCACTATTTTTAATTCTATAAACTGTGAATTCTTTAAAAAATTATTTCATCATTTTTTAAATAGAATTTTTATTTTATACTGGTTTACTTACAAAGTTCGTATATACTGTTTTTCACACTGGATCTTTCCCATTTTCTTTACCCACTCCTCCCTCCATCCGTCAAATTGGATGACCACCATCACCCTTCCCCCAGCCCTACACTCACGCTTGCCCCTCTGCTTCCACCCTGCCCTCCTTAGATCTTCATACACTTTCTACAATAATAGTACTTTCATACAATTGAATACTACACAGCACGCAGGAACAATGATTTTGTAAACCACTACCTAGCTTGGGAGGAACTGGAGAGCATTATGCTAAGTTAACTAACTCCGTACCATAAGGACAAATATCGTACAAGACCATTATTGTGGAAGTAATTATTTTTTTTTTATTAATAGACTCTCAATTTCTTTTCTACTCCAGTCAGAGGGGCCAACAAAATACACTAAAATATTTTCCTGGTAAGTGTTTAAGAGCAGAAAGAAGTCATGAGAGCACTAGTAGCAAGAAAAAAAATTATGAGATTCAAGTTTAAAATAGACAAAATATACATACATGCACAGGACATACCTTAATCCATTCTATTTTATCTACAAATTTGGCAGCCAACTTTTCTGGATACACTGAGACAGCTTCCAATAGACAGTACATGACTGGTAAACCTAAGAGGAAGTCAGAATCCTGTTAAATTTTAAGTCATAAGCAATAAATTACTAATATGCAATTAAATCTGCTGCTTTAGTAAGCATGTCTTCAGTTCAACAACAAAAAAAGATTCAAAACCCAAACAGTAAGTGACTCAATTTAGCAAATTTAGACCAGTTATCCATATAAGGCGGAATGGCCTGCTCTCCACACTTATTTTTATGTAAAAATTTATCCTCTATTTAGATTTTTTTTTTGAGGGCATAAGTGGTTTAATATTTTTCTCTGGTCTCAAGACTTCCTACCTCCAACACCTGCTAACAGCTGCTGAAGCAGGCCAATGTAGATCTGAACAGGGTTGCTCTCCCCACCCTTGGAAGATGACGAGGCTGTAGCTTGGCTTCCTGACATTAAAGTTCGTATGTAGCGTCCAATGGCTGGGGCATGATCTTGCATATCAGCCAAACTTTGAGAGGTGGGCACCACTCCTGCACTGTGTGCCAGGCACATTCGCAAGTACAGAACTATCTAAAAACAAGGAGAAGACCAGTTAAGCTGCTCAAAAAGTTAATACAGAAGGATATTCAATGTGACTGTTTTCTAGCTTCAATTTCCCCACTTCTTTCACAAAACTGTTTAACTCTCCTCGTGGAATCTGGAAAATACGTTTCATTATGCTAACTAGTATTATTTAACTGGAGCAAAATTTATACAGCAATCTTTCACAAACACAAAGTGCTTTTTTTATACTGACATATACTTTTTAAAATTTTTTTTATATTACTTTACAAAATTTGAATACATTATTTTTCACAAAATATCTGACAAATATGGAACGCTTCATAAATGTGCATGTCATACTTCCGCTGAGGCCATGCTAATCTTCTCTTTATTGTTTCAATTTTAGTACATGTGCTACTGAAGCGAGCACACGTGCTTTATTTTTAAATAAAGCAGAATAGAGTTGCAATGCAAACTCAACTTCTAAAGTCTGAAAATTACAATGAAAACCATTATTTTTAAAAAGCCGCAACATAAAAGTGAGTGGGGAGAAATCTCAGATTATCCATTCCTGGGCAAGATGATCTTATCTGTGTTTAATCTCCGCAAACAGAATAATCTGAAAACACAGGTTGAAGCTGTCTACAACATCATTAAAAGACCTCTTGAATTAGTTACCAGAGAGTCCTCATGCAGTCCTGATAGCACTGTGGTTGAGGCATTCAGATACTATCTGAAAGGTCAATGGTTTAAACCCACCAGTCACTCAAGGGAGAAAGGTGAGTCCTTTTGTTTCTGTAAAGATATATTTTCTTGAGACTCTTCCTCTTTTTTCACTGACCTTCTACTTTCCTACTATATACTCAAGCTAATATGAATCTGTAAAAATTGGCAATGATCAATCACTAATGGGAAAGGGTAGTAATTAAGGAGGCAAAACAATCCCTGAAGATTAAAACTCTGGCAAACGTACCTTTATTTAGTATTAGTCATCATCATCATGAATAATCTAGAGATAATTTAAAGTATGTGGATGCATACACAAGAGGATATGTCTAGGTTATAAGCAAATAATAAATCATTTTCCATATAAGACTTGAATATCCTTAAATTTCAGTATCTGCAAGGATGGGGGTGGGTGGTCCTAGAGCCAAGTGTGTATCAAAGGTGCTGGTGGTTTTGTGGGATTGTTTTAATAAAAGAGCCTCGTAAAGAATAATCACACTATAATATGGATTTATCCAGATAACAAAAAAATCACACAGACATCTCTTCGGGTGTAATTTTAGTGATCAGAACTCAAAGAAGTGGGGGTAGGAAGAACTGGTAGAGAGAGAAAATAAAAAATAAATGACTGTTCTACCTCTCCAAAGGCAGCTGGATTAAATGGAAGGACAGTGGTCCCCGTCATATATTTGGCTGGAGTTTTCATTCGATGGGAAGCCTATTAAAAATAAACCCAAAACAAATTACTGTGAAATGGAACATTATCAATTAAAAAATTATTATCTAGTCATGTAACTGTTCAAAATTTGCTCCTGTTGTTTCCTATTTGAAACATTTTACCACTCCTAATGCTGATTCTGCATGTCCTTCAATGGATATGCAAAGATTAGCCTATGGACTTGTGTACTGACTTTATCTCCATGCCTTCATTGTACTGTCAAAAAAACCCAAAACTTGAATCTAGGTACCTACTGACACACTTACCTTAAGCAATGTATGCTAGTAATTCCTGTTAATAAAGAGTGAACACTGATGCATCTTCTGACTCCAAATACATTTATACTACAGAGACGAGACTCAGTTGCTAGACAATGACCTCCAACTCACAAAAGCAAAGACCAAATAGAGGCAGAAGGTAGGGTAGACTCCAGCAACTCAAAAAAAGTGACATAAAAAGTGAAATGGAATCAAAGCTGAGGGTCATTACGACCAGTATTCTCCAAACTATCAGCAGAGAACACTGTGCAAAAGCCAGAGAAGCTGAAAGGCACGCGTAATGGAAGAAACCTGCAGTGCCCTTGGGACACATTCACAAAGATGCTACCATAATAGCTCTTAAAAATTAAAGGGATGAGGGGCTCTGGTGGTCTAGTGGCAAGAAGCTGTCCTGCAATCAATCCCAGAAGTATGTGGTTTGAATCCACTAGATGCTCTGCTGGAGAAGGAGGGGCAATCTCCTCCTGTATCAGTCAGATCCAATTTGATGGTATACACACAAAAACTAATAAAATTTAAAAGACTAAAAAAAAAAATAAAGGCAGATACATATGTCTATGTATATCACAACTAGGGAAAGAATTTTAAACACAAGCAAAATGTTGCAATTATGAAACAGTATTTAAAGAATTCACACTGAGGTAAAACAGACCAGTTACACTTGGGAATTATATTTTTCCTGTTCCATATGTTCCTCTTGACTATTAATACTATTAAAAACTGTACTACTACTACTCACAATTTGCTTAAATATTTATTTTCATTATCCATTATATAACTCAAAATAACGATCTAAGGGTGAATGCCATACCTTTTCCTGGATATAATATACCATTTCTGGGAAAGAAGGCATCTGCTTAGAAGCATTTTCTTTTTTGTTTCTACCAGGAAGGCACCTTAACACTCTTTGTGCTTCTCCATGAACTTCTTCTCGCCTTTCAGAAAGAAAAAGAAATTTCATCAATTGGAGAATGAGCTTTCAGAGCACTAGAAAAAATGTCCTAAGTATATTATTGACTATTTAAGCAAAATACATTACAAGGAGTCTCCAATTTAAAATGAACTGCACTTACAACTCATCATTTCTGGGTTTTCCTCGTTATCTTTAACAATATATATCACACACAAAATGTTGTTGCATATAATTTGCTGATGTTCACTCCCATAGAGTAAATTTTCTGATGTACTATTTAAAACAATGCTGTTAATTAAGCAGGCATTGCTGGTGTTTAGAGTCACTACAAGTCTAAATACATAAGAATATTGAATTTTGGACACATCGAGCTTTAAAGTTTAGAGCTCCTTAAATACCAAAGTGGTAAAACTTCACCTAACATCTTTTGGGCATGTTGCTAGACGACTCTACTCATTGAAAAGTGGCACCACACTTGGAAAGGTGGAGGGACAGAGAAAGAGAGGAAAGACCCACAACCAAGTGGACTGACACAGTGACTGTAGCAATGGGCTCAAGAACAGGACAGGGTTCAGACTTGTTAGGAGTTGCTATGAGTCATACTCAACTCGACAGCACTTAATAACAACTTTAAACTCTGACTTCATTGGTACAACACTGATGATCTGTTTCCACTGTTAACCAAGTCTATAAAATTACTTTAGTTTTTCAGAAGATTTTCATTTAGTCTGAACAGTTTTAACTGAAAAAGGAAAACAACAATAATCTATGGTCAACTGATATTCGACAAGAAAACAAAATCTATCAAATGGGAAAATAACAGCCTCTTCAACAAATGGTGCTAGTATTACTGGATTACTACCTGTAGAAAGCTGAAGCAGGATTACACCGCTCACTGTAGACAAAAATAAACTCAAGGGAAACCTAGGGGTAAAGCCCCAAACCATTAAGATCCTGAGACAAAGTAGGACAAAGTTTAGAAGGTCTAGCCCATGGTAAGAAAAAGCTGACAAATACAGCCAGAAATACACAACAACCAGGAGAGGAGAAAACTAATGAATGGGACCTTTTAAAGAATAAATCCCTGTGCACATCAAAAACTTTTTCCAACAGAGTAAAAAGAAAACCTACTGACTGGGAAAAACATTTGGCAATATCATCTCAGACAAGGGTCTAAAAGTTTACAGACTACAGAGCCTTCACAAGAAAAATAAAAATAACCCAACAACCAAAAGGACAAAAGACATGGAAAAACTTTTAACTGAGGAAGACATCTGGATGGCCAACAGACAGATAAAGAAATGCTCAAAATCACTGGCAATTAGAGGGATGCACATGAAAACCACAATGAGATACCATCTCTCTCCACCAACAGCGGAAATGTTTGACAGGACAGCAAATAATAAATGTTAGAGAGTATGTGGAAAGATAAAACTCTCATACACTGTTGGTGGGGTTGTAAAATGATACAACCACTCTGGAAGGCAGATCGGCATTTCCTCATAAAGATGAACATAGAAAGTCCAAATGATCCAGCTATATCACTGCTTGGAAAATTGAAACTAAGACACAAACAGATTTGTATACCAATATTCTAGTAGTAGTATTCACCGTCACGAGAGCATGCAAACAGCCCAAATGTCCAACCACAATCAAATGGCTAAGAAATTGTGGTGTTCACATGATGGAATACTATGCAGCATGCAGGAACAATGATTTTTAAAATTACTACCCAACATGGAAGGTACTAGAGAGCATTATGCTAAATGAACTAACTCAGTCACATAAGGACAAATACTATGTAAGACCATTACTGTAGAAATGGAAAGATAACTAGTAAACGGTTATAAGGATCCAAGGTGGGAAAGGTAAGAGCAGAGGGGTTAGGATGGGCAGGGGGAAATGATACGGTCACCTAATTTGATGGGTAGAGGGAGGGGTGGATAAGGAAAATGGGAAAGATTCAATGTGAAAAACAACGTATACAAATTCTGCAAGTAAACCAATATAAAGTAAGTATTTTATTTTAGAAAAACCCTATCACACAGTCACAATAATCAGAACAACTTGTTACTGGTATGTGACAGGCTCTCAGAGCAATGGAACAAATCTGAAAACCTAGAAATGAATCCATCCAACTATGGAAAGCTTATCTTTGACAAAGAGATTCCATCTTTGTGGAAAAAAGACAATCTGTTTAACAAATGATGAGTCAAAAGTGAGTAGCTATTTGCAGAAAATTAAAATGAGATTCACACTTCATATGATATACAAAAATGAACTTAAGATGGATTAGAGACTCAGGAATAAAAAAGACCATTAAATTAAAAAACTGGGGCATATTCAGCACACCTAACTTTTCCTCTCATGCCCTATCAAAGGCATAAATAAAATTAAAAAATAAATGAAAATGCACCAACAATAGAGGCTAAACTAGATGATCTGGACCTTCTAAAAACTAAAACCTTATATGCATCAAAAACTGTCTCCAAAAATGTAAAGATACTCTATACACTGGGAAAATATTTGATAGCAACACAGTTGACAAGTGACTCATCTCTAAAATTTAGAGAGAAATAAAAGACAATCCAATTACAAATTGGGCAAAGGACGTGGATAGACACTTCACCAAAGGTGACACTCAGAGGGCCAACAAACACTTGAAGAAATGCTTAAGAATATTATGTACTGTTGTTGTTATGTACCACTGAGTCAGAACCAACTCAGAGTTGACCCTCGAGTGGGTTTTCAGAGGCAATAAAACTGTACAAAAGGAGAGTGCCCAACTTTCCTATGTAGAACAACTGGTGGGCTTGAACCGTGTGTGTTTGGGTTGTATCACAAATCCTTACCACTAAGCCACCTGAACTCCCTCATTAGATATTGTTGTTGTTAGGTGCCATCAAGTCGTAGATGACTCATAGCAACGCTATGAATGAAACATCTGAACACTTATATAACTTTCATAGTTTCTCCATGTTCACAGAGTTTCCAGAGGCAAGCTATTTCGGAAGTGGATGCCTCTCCTGCTTCCAACATTAGCTATTAGAGAGTTACAAATCAAAACAATGAGGTATCATCCCACTCAAGGAAAAATAGAAAAGTTCAGTAAGACAGCAAAAAAAAAAATGCTGGTGAAGATGTGGAGAGACCAGAACTCTCATACACTGCTGGGGAAGATGTAAAATGGTGCAACCACTATGGAAGGCAGTAGGCTGTTTCCTACAATTGGAAAAGAAATACCATTTGATCTAGCAATCTTACTATTAGGTGGGCTAAAGAATTAAGAGCTGCCACACAAATAAATACATGTACACCCATATTAACTGGAGTATTACTCACAAAAGCACAGAGAAGAAAAGAACCCTAGCACTGAACAAGATGCAGGATAAAGAGAATATGGTGCATTCATACAATGAAGTACTATCATGAAACACTCTAAAGCAAACATTGTATAACATGGTTGCATCTAGAGGACACAGTGCTAAACTGTAAGTGACAAAAGAACTATTATAAGATAGATCACTAATATAAAAAGCCAAGGAAAGGAGTACACACAGAATCATTCTTAGATGGTTAACAATGATGACTGGGGGGGAGTGAGAAGGAAAAAAACCCCATATACTGAGTGAAGGGAAAGACAATATACAATAAGAGGACTGCTATGGGTCATAATCATCTTGTGTATGTACATAAGGCTTTTTAAAATTACTTAAACATTTTTAAAATGCACACTTTAAAAAGTTTAGTAACAAATACATTAACATAAAATTGAGCTTATATACTTGATTACAGTTCTCTTAGTATATTAGAATAAACAGTACTCAGTTGCATAATAAATCTATAAATGTCATAATAAAGCCTATAAATTATTACTGATTATTATTGATGTTCATAGGACATCAAGAGTTACATTTTTTACTATTTAATAAATTGTTTCTAAAGCTCTGGATCAACAAGACAAAAACAAAAATTTTAATAATGTTCAAATAAATGTAAAGTAAGCTCAAATTCAAATTAGCACTTTTGGAAACTTACGGATCTCCAGCAGCTAATAAGAGTAAATATCTGGAAGGTATATGATCTGAAGGAAACACAGTGCTTGCAAATTTCACAGCCACCTGTCGAACTTGAACTTCAGGCTATTTGATAGATAGATAGAATATACATACACACACAAACAAAAGAAAAGAAATAAATTTCAAGCAACATATTCCAGTCAAGACAGTCTTCCTATTTATAAATATTTCAAAATTTAAGTTGGCATTTCCACAAATGTATGTCTAAATCATAAGATCAAAATTAAAAATGTATTCTAGTAGTAGCTGCAGCATCAATTAAAAAAAGTACTTTAAAAAAGAATGGTCCAGGCAAAGCAGGGAATACAGCTACAAAATCACTTGTTCCAAAGTGTAAGCCCAAAATATGGGGCCAGGATCACTCCCACAGTTTCAGCGCTCCTCTTCTACCACTCCTTATGGCCACCATCTGCTTCTCTAAATTTTAAACTCAGTTACTGACTAGTAAAATTCAAGTATTCTGCAGGGAAGACAAAGACAGCTTACTTGAAGTTATTTTAAAGTCAAGTTAGTCTAACTTCTCCAAATTTTCTTGATGTTAAATCTGATCCTATAGTAAAGTTTTAACAACTAAAATACATCCTGAACAGGTTTAAGAATCTATGGTTAAAACTAGGAAAGCAGTTTTAGACTCTCTTGATCCTCAAGTGCTCTTCTCATACACCTTCCTCCAAAGTCAGTCCTCCAGCCACAAACACAAGTGACTCACAGGAGAAAGAAATTAAGAACTATATAGACTGTTCTACTCATTCAGGAATTCGTGCTATTTAGCATTTCCTGAGCTACATTAAAGTGCAATGATATAGAAGACCAGTTTAAATTATAGAATTTAACTTAGAATTTAATTGAGATCTGAGAAAAGTAAATTTGGCTGGTTATGTTATTACAAGATTTCACCACGTGTATGAATGTAACTATGGGCATTCCCAAGCATTACATACATAGCCTAGAGGCTAACACAAGAGGTTATAGTGTTTGTCAGATCAGTAGGGCAACATATTTCGTTGAGAAGTTACCTAGAAAATGTTAAGTATTCTATTCTAATTTGCTTCCAAATAAGCCTACTCTTTTTTGGCTGTTATTAGAGTTATATGGCCATAAATATGTGAACCACCTATCAACAGCATTTGGCCATGGGATTCTATATATGGTAACCTTTATGAATAGACCTAACAGTCTAATTTATTTCTGACACATTTCAATAAAAAACAAATACTCTTGTGAATCATTAATAATTTTCTCGAATAAACATATTAAATCAGGTTGACAAGACTGCAGTTAAAAGCAATTTTTATTAATCACACCAATACTTTTTAGACTCAGTCCCTCTTCAAATCTCTTTTCCTACTACTACCAAAGTTGGAACAAAAGAACTGATCACAGCAAATACATACCATTTTGTTTTATAAAATATATATACACACACACACACATATATATATATATATTTTCCCCCCCAGATATTTTCAAGACAATGAAATAAAAGTAACTCTCCAGCAACAACTGCAAAGTTCAACAGGGCAGCAAACAACAAAAGCTGGTAAGGTTGTGGAAAGACTGGAACTTGGAACTCTTATTTACTATTGGTGAATGTAAAATGGTACAGCCACTATGGAAGGCTGGCTGGAGCTTTCTCAAAAAGCTGAAAATAAAAATATCATTTAACCCAGGAATTCCACTACTGGAAATATATCCTAAAGAAACTAGAGTCAAAACTCAAACAAATGTATGTACACTCATGTTTATTGCTGTGTTATTCACAACAGCAAAAAGAAAGAAGCAACTCAAGAGCCCATCAACAAATCAATGGTTAGAAAAACTATGTATGGTACATCACACAATGGAGTTTTATTACACAGCACTGAAAAACAATGAACTCATGAAACATTATACAACATGGGGGAGCCTGGAGGACATTGTGCTGAATGAAATATCTCAGTCACAAAAGAACAAACACTGCATAACACCATTGTTATAAAATGGGATTGGGAGAGAAAGAATAAGAGGACAAATAATGAACATTGCATTAAAACAGATGAGGGGAAGAACTGTATGAAAGGAATATATGATTATGCAACTGTGGAACAAGGGGTGCCCTGCAGGGAGAAAAGGAAGTAATATTCAAAAATTTAAAAAACCAATAAATGTCATAAAAAAATTAACACACAATGTGATCCAAACTATGTTCACGTGTATATACACAGATAAAATAATGAGAAAGAAATACATTCTAGTGTTATTAACAATTCTTTTGAGTGGTGATGACTGAGAATGATTGTTGGAAACAGAGGGCAAAGTAATTTTATAATTACGAGACAGCCAGTCAGGAATGAGGTAGAACAGAAAGCATAAAAAACAGGGGGCCAGCCGTTTTCTACTGAAGACCCCCATTCTAGCTTTCCTATATCTTTATTGAAAATTATCAGGAAGTAAATCACAAAGAGAATTCAATGCAAATAAAGCCAAGCTCTTTCTGATGAAAACCTCTGCTTGACTCAGGAGGGAGGGGTTGGCCTCAGGGTGAACTCTAGCTTGAACCATGCCTCCCCAACATCCTGAAATAGCATTCAGTTTATTACAAATATTTAGTATTGACTTCCCATAAATGATCATCATGTTCTTTGTGATTTTAAAATTATGTCTAATATAACTAATGGCTATGTTTGATTTATAATTATAAATTTTTTTTCTAAACAACTGTTGCACTTGATAGAAACTTTTATGAAGTAAAGCAGAACTGTTTTTAATAGCAAAAAAAAGGGAACTCAAAGGAAAGAGAGGCTCTATATGGACACTGGCATGTTTCCCAGGGATTCAGTTGGCAGAATGGTTAGGTTTTTTTTCCCCCAGGGTTAAAGAACTTTCCTTCAATAAATTTTAGAGCTCATTTAAGAAGACAAAACACTATGTTCACAAATGTTCAATGCAGTACTATTCAAAAAACCAAGAAGATAGGCAAAAAGTTACTAATAACAGATGAAAGGATAAATAAAATGTGACACATACACTCCATAGAACAAAAACAAAAAACCTTCACTGCCACTGAAATCAATTCTGATTCAGAACAATCCTACAGGACAGAGTAGAACTGCCCGCCTGGGTTTCAGAAACTATAAATCCTAACAAGAGACAAATGCTTCATCTTTCTTCTGTGAAGTATCTGAACCATCACCCTTATTATATACCACGAAACTATAAAAATAAAGAATAATGAACAGTGTGTCTTTGAAACAACATACATGAAGGGGACATCAATTTCAAAAGAACAAATATTTTTCTATTATACCTTTATAAAACAAGAACAGACATATGAAAAAAGACCAATGCTCCCTCATGGCTACCACAGACAGATGGAATAGGGGGAGAAGAGGAAGCATTCTCAAGGGAGCAAGGACTCAAAACTCAAACTCATTGCTGTGGAGTTAGAACCAACTGATCCTGATCCTTTAGTGGGTTTCTGAAGTGGTAAATCACACAGGAGAATAGAGATGGTGAATTCACACTGTGAAAGGTACAGTGTTTGGTTTAACAATACAGCCCTCTATGAACTACCTCACCAGAGCTCCCTGATAGCTCTCAAACGAGTTGACATTTGTTATTAGTGGTGATCAGAAAGAAAGCATCAAACATGGGCGAAGTGCACATAGTTTGATAAGGTGAATGGTGTTACTAAGAGCTGCACAAGGCATGTGACGTGTCGTGCACGCATGCATGCGTGCCCATGTGCATATGTACCTAAAGGACGCATATATTCATATACATAAAATGAAGCTCATAAGAGACACAAATAAGGATACTTCTTAAAACAACTAAATGCACAAGATTAGTTTTCAGGGTTTAAAACATAGGACTAGTCTCAAGGAACATGTTAGTTAAATGGTACAATGTCGCTCATAAACTTTATGTTCTACATCACATGTGGTAAGCAGAGCCTTGAGTTTTAAAGGCTTTAAATGGCCACCAAAGAATCTAACATAAAAGTGTGGTCTCTGTCCTCCCAGAGCAAAAGTGTCTAGAGGATTACTAGGGTACACAAACTGTGGCTTCGTCTACCCTGAGTTAGACGACTACTAGTGACCACCACTGACCACCACTCTTACCAGGGTCACAGTAGGTGGACTGTGACAAAACAGGAGAGAATGTGGATCAAAACTCAATTCTTAAAAATAGCCCAGATTTTGCAGATCAGTTGAGACCAGTAGACTCCCCAAGATGATTATTCTAAGACATACTTTAAGCCTTAAACTGAAATTATCCCTTCAGATCACCTTTTAACTAAATAACAGATTAGCTATAAAAGAAAAAAAGAGAATGATTTGTGAATAATGAATACCTTTAAAAAACAAACACACCTATATGAAACAATATGGAAAAACATTAAAGCACAGATATGAAAGTTAGGGGGCAGGGAAAGCAGAGTACTGAAATGGTATAACTAGAAGACAATGAATTAGGCTGATGACATCTTTTGAAAACTAAACCCAATTTCACTGAAAAAATCTGTTAAGTGGGAATATAATTTGCTATGTAAATTTTCAACTTCAACACAATGAAATGGTAGTTTAGTAAGATTAAGAATAGAAGACATTTCCAATTGGGAAGACATGACTGACATTAAGAATTGGTTTTCACACATGGAAGCATCACTGAATATTATCGCTTCTCTCCTAAATCAGAATATGAAGAGATTTTTAAAAGACTATAAACCATAATCCCAATAACAAAATTCTTTTGGTTATCAAGATGATAAAGAGAAAAGAAACCATTTCATCCTTAAAAATGTAAAATGTGCACATTACAAAGCTACTGCAGTTCATTCAAGTGCCCTACCTTTATTAGATAGGATGCCACAAGTGCTTCCATGAGAGTTCGCTGTGCTCCTTCCAGAGTACTGTACGCTCCAACCATCATAGACAATGCTTCTTGAATAGCAAGTCGAGTCTCAGGCTCTTCCTATAAAGAAGACAAAAAGAGTGTTTCCCTCTCCATTGGGTCTCCAGGGAGCAAAGAAAGAACATAAACTTGACAGCTGTTTCCCTACCTTACATAGGGCTTCAAAAAGCTGCTGCACAAGAGCTATGTCCTTAGTGAATAAATGGGGCATTCGACTGTAAAAGAATATGAGACCACTGTTGCTATCAAAAATTCCCGTAAGATGAAAACTGAGGAGAAAATGAGACTACATACTCAATTTTCCCAAACTTGTACTTCCATTTCCAAACACAAGGTAAGCATGAGAATAGGGGTGGGTTTTTTTCTTTTTATTGAAAGCAATAAAAATATTGCCAAATAGTTTTAAAAGCAAATGTTTAATATTTCAACAGTCCAATTCAAAGAATCCTCAATTAATACAAATATTAACCAAACACTGTCTCTTTTTAATATTTCATGCATCCAGTTAACATTTCTGATTTTCTTTTTTTAATTTTTTTATGTTTTGTGTTTGTACCGTCAAATCTGATCCGACTGGTACAGGAGGCGATTACCCCTCCTTCTCCAGCAGAGCATCTGGTGGATTCGAACCGCAAACATTTCTGATTTTAAACTAAAGAAAATCTTGAGGATGAGATAACTAGTTAAAGTGAAGATTACCATGATAAAAGAAAAACCAACCGCACTGCCACCAAGACAAGTTTGACTCATAACCTCTGTCTGTTTCCCAAGGCCATAAATTTTTACAGAAGACTACCATTCTTTCTGCTATAAAGCTATGAGAAGATTTGAACCACCGACCTTTTTGTTAGTATTCCAACATCCTATGCACTACACCCCAGGGCTGCTTTTATAAGAAGCTTTGTTGTGTTTTTTTCCAAAAGGAAGTAAGACAAAAGACATGTGCCAGCAGCCCTACACTGTGACAGCTGGTCCGAGAGGGTCTTTTCTTAGACCCTAACGCTCCATCTCTGGAAGAACATAACTTTGTCTCCACTGAACAGGGGGTGAAAACTGCACACAGCATCACTGAGGATTAGTCACCTCCAATGCTTTGAAATATTACAAAAGATGGTGATACTAGGAGCAACCAGGGTAAGAAAAACATTACTAAGCAAAAGGGGGAAAAAAAAATCTTTAGAAACAGGCCATTAAGAACAATAATATAAATACTATCAGAAAAAAGAACTGCTGCAGAAATCTTGATCATTGAGAATATAACTACTAGTAAGTGACAGTAAACACCTAAGATCAAACAAATCCCTGTAGAAATAAAATAGGACTCATTACAACACAGTCAAGTTCAAAAATTTCATTTCAAAACCACAACTCAGTGATAAATTTTCAAATGCAAGTTTAAATGTCTTTTTCTTTCTGCAAGGAAGACATTTCCAAACATACAAGTAATTGCTGTCAAGTCAGAACTGACTCACAGCTGATCCTCCAGTGGGGTTTTAGGTTATAAATCACATAGAAGGAGACTATCCATCTATCTCCCATGGTGCAGCTGGTGGATTCGAACTGCATGCCTTTGAGATGGCCGCACAACTCCTTACCCATTAGGGCACCACAGCTCCCTAAACAGCTATAGCCTTCAAACAAAAAGAACTTTCCTTATAGAGTCCTAGAAGGTATAATTTTCATCTTCTATTAAATGCCATTTAATTTTTCTTAATTAATCAAAAGGATACCTCTCACCAAAACATAACTGACGTAAGAGTTTACTCACCTGGAGAGTTTTCCAACAGCTGAATATGCCATTGCCAGTAGCTTAGGGTCCTTGAAATAAAAAATAGAAAAATTTAAAAGGGCAAAAACATAGTATACAGAAATTCATTTTTTGCTTTAATCATGTACATTTTTTATTTTTTATTAAACATAAATCTCTCTCTGCCTAGCCATATAGTATTAACATCTATACAAAAGGGCTGGAAAATAAGAAAATCAGAATCTATAAAATTATTAAAAGCAAAAGCAAAAAAAAACAAAACTTGGCATCCCCATTTCACAACAAAAAGAAAATTCACTGGTCACAAATGAAAGTCTTCTTTTAATTGGTGTTAATATTCAAATATTTTCAACATCATGGAATCTATAAACTCCACCTTTCAACACCTAGAAAACAGTCAAATTTATTGGAAAACTAACTCCCAATCCAAGAGCAGGATCCTCTCTTGCCCAACACTGTAGTAAGCAACGGTATAAAATAAACTGAGTCTCCATCACAATAAACATCTTGTCCTTGGACTTCAACTTTATAAAACATGAAAAGGCTCATTGTTGCCAAGTAAATTAGTTTCCTTTGTTAAGATAAAAATATGTGTTTCATTTATTACTCAATAACACAATAAAAAATTGTGAGTTGAAATGTTTATCTTTAAAATAGGATATGTTCTTCCATACCTAAAGAGACACTCTTACAATTTTACCACGTAGGGGACAAAAGGTACATCTTTGGAGGTAAAGGGACTATAACCCTGTGGATATCTAGTTTCATCAAGCTAGTTTTATACATATATACTTCTTTGGGTTCATTATTTTGCTGAAAACTCAAAAGCATTATTATTTCTAAAAACTATTCCAAAGCATCCGACCATATAAAAATAATCTTAAAGACTCTTAAACATGAAAGCAATATCCAACAAGAGAACCTGGCCTATTCAAAGTATAGCTATGAAAACAAATTTAACAATTTTTCACTGAAAATAGTATCTACTAATATGCTTTCACCATGATAGATAGAAAAGAGATTGAAGTTGTTAACAATTACAGCTTGCTTGGCTCCACAATCAATACGCTTGGCACCAGCAGTCAAGAAATCAAAAGACGAATTGCTTTGGGGAAACTGTGCTGTCAGGGACCTCTCCAGAGTACCTATGTCAGTCTAGAGACTAAGATGCACCTGATCTAGGCCATGTTCTTTGCAATTGTTTGCTATCCATCAGATAGCAGGACAATGACTAAGGATGACAGAAGAAGAAGCAATGCCTTCGATCTGTGGTGCTGGAGAAGAGTCTTGAATATACCATAAGCCACCAAGAAAATGAACAGATCTGTCTCAGAGATGGTGAAACCAAGTCCCTCCTTTGAGGCTAGGATTTTGAAGTTCTGTCTCACATTCTTTGGTCATTAAGTGAAGCACACCATCCCCGGTAGGGTGGAGGAATAGAGCAGGAGAGGACGATCCAAGATGAGATGGATTGATACAGTAACTGAGGTAATGGGGGTAGGTGTGTCAGAGTCAGTGAGACTCGCTCAGGACAGGGCAGGCTTCAGAGCTGCTGTACATAGGGTTCCTATGAGTCAATGGCTCATAACAACAAATATGCTTTCACTGTGACGACCTATCCATGTACATTATCTCAGTTAATATAATAATCCTAAAGGATGGTATTATTTCCATATTAAGAAAGGAGTTCAAAGAATTTTTACATTTATTAAAAACAAAACTAGGATTCAATATCAAACAGCAGCATCTTTATTACTATACTATTAAAACTTGCAATCGTGTTTTCTTAAGACATATTAACTAAAGTTCTTAAAATCTTAACCTTTATAAATTATAATCAAGTCCTCTAAAATACTACAGATAGCAAGAAAAAGATTCAAAATTTGTAATTCATGAAATTCTCACTCTACTTGTTGTTATATGTCATCGAGTCGCTTGTGACTCATAGAGACCCTATGTACAAGAGCCCTAAACCCTGCTCTAACCTGTGCCAAACTCACTGTCTCTGCCATACCCACTCCCATTACTCCAATTACTGAATTGATCCATCTCATTGAGGGTCTTCCTCTCCTGCGCTGTCCTTCCACTCTCCCAAACATGATTTCCCTCTCCAAAGACTGGTCCCTCCTTGCAACATGTCCAAAGTATGTCAGACAAAGCTTCAGAATCCTTGCCTCCAAAGAGCAGCCCGGCTTCACTCTCTCCAGGACAAACCTGTTTATTTCCCTAGAAGTCCATGGTATATTCAACACTCTTCTCCAGCACCACAGCTTCAAAGGTATCAATTCTCTTTCTGTCATCCCTAGTCACTGTCCAGCTCTCTGAAGCATAGCAAACAACTGTGAAGACTATGGCCCAGATCAAGTGCACCTTAGTCTCCAGCCTGATGCCACTGCTCTTCAGTACTTTGGAGAGGTCCCTGATAGCTACTTAGCTTAAGCAATCAAAAACTTACTGAATTCATGCTTTAATAAAATATCCAAATCGATAAAATTTCGGCCCCTAACAATTAAGTTTTCCAGTGGCAAGTGAGTCATGAAATTAAAAGCGCCTTAAGATAGTATAAAATATATTGCTTGCTTTTAAAAATAAAGATATAAGACTCCGCCAAGTCTTATCCATCTTAAACATTTATTTCTAAAAAGATAAAATAACAGTAATTTCTCAAATTTGTACCGCTCCAAGTTGAAATATTAAGAAAATATTAACAAGGTAGCCCAATTGTTAAAGAGGAAGTAAAATGATATATGCAGATGGTATGATAGTATACTTAGAAAATCCTCAAGATTCAACAAGAAAAATGTTGGACATGCCTGACCAATTCAGCCATGTAGCAAGATACAAGACCAACATATAAAAATCAGCTGGATTTCTCTATAGTAGTAAATAAAACATAGGAAAGGAAATAAGAAAAACTCTTTCAATTCCAATAGCTAACCACAAAATGAAATATTTAGGAACAAATCTCACTAGAGACACAAAAGACCTATTCAAAGAAAGTTACAAAACACTACTATAAGAAACAAATAGAGGGGAACTCTGGTGGCCTAGTGGCAAGAAGCTGTGCTGCAATCCCAAAGGTGCACGGTTTGAATCCACCAGATGCTCTGCTGGAGAAGGAGGGGCAATCTCCTCCTGTGCCAATCAGATCTGATTCGATGGTTCTGATTCAGAGGTATACAGCAAGAAAAGGGGGAAAAAGATCTAAAGAAATGAAAGAACATACCATGCTTATATACAGGAAGATTCATTATCATGAAAATGTTAATTTGACCAAAAGCAATCTGAAAATTCAATGCAATCCCAATACAGACACCAACTATATTCTTCAATGAGATGGAAAGGCAATTTCAAATTTTGTCCGGAAAGGAAAGAAACCCTGAATAATCAAAGCATTACCGAAAAAGAAAAACAAGGTAACAAGACTCATACTCCATTTCAAAAACTAACATCCACAATAATGACAGCATAGTACTAGTACTGCAACAGACACACATCTGTGGAATAAAATCAAGAACATAGAAATCAATTCATTCACCTACACACAACTGATCTTTGACAAAGAGACAATAATTTCTGAGTGGGGAAGCAACAGCCTCTTCAGCAAAATTGGGCATCTACCTGTAAAAAAGTGAAGTAAGAGCCACACCTCACACACAAAACCAACTGGTGGATTAGGAACCTAAGACTGAAAACAAAAACTAAAAAGGTCATCACAGAGAGAAACAGGAACAAATCTAGAAGACTTCATATATGGTATGAGTAGACTTTCAATCATAACCAAAACCCTACAACCAAAAGAAGATAAAATAGATGAATGGGACCTTCTATAATCTAATCCTGTGCACATCAAAAAACTTTACCAACAAGAGTAAAAAGGAAGCCTACTGGACTGGAAAAACATACGTGGAAATGACATATCTCTTATCTAAAATTTAAAGAACACTCCAGCAACTGGACAAAAACAAAAACAAAAAACCAAAAAGAAAACAACCGCAACTCAATCACAAAATAAGCAGAAGATATAAACAGCTACTTCACTAAAGAAGAAAGTCAGATGGCCAACAAATACATGAAGAATACTCAAAATCTCTAACTATTAGACGTAAATAGAAATGAGGTCTCATCTCACTCTAGCAACAATGGCAAAGTTCAACAGGACAGCAAACAACAAATGTCAGAGAGGAAAGTAAGAAGAGACTGAAACTCTCATACATTGCAGGTGGGAATATAACATAGTACAACCACTATGAAAGGCCACCTGGCACATCTTCAAAAAGTTGGAAATAGAAATATTATTTAACCCATGTATCAATTACTTGTTATGCTTCAGAGAGTTGGACAATGACCAAGGATGACAGAAGAATAGATGCCTTCGAGTTGTGGTGCTGGAGAAGAGTCTTGAACATACCATGGACTGCCAAGAAAACAAATAGGTCTGTCTTGGAGTGGGAGAAACCAAGTCTCTGTTTCGAGGCTAGGATTTTGAAGCTCCATGTCACATACTTTGGGCATGTGGCCAGGAGAGACCAGTCCTTAGAGAAGGAAATCATGCTCAAAGGGGTGGAGGGACAGTGGAGAAGAGGAAGACCCCAGATGAGATGGATTGATAATCTGGGGCATGAGGGTTGGTGGGTTGGAATTAGTGAGACTGGTTCAGGACAGGGAAGGGTTCGGAGCTGCTATACAAAAAGAAAAAAAAGGTCACTATAGGTTGCAGGCAACCCGATGGCACATAACAACAAAAACATACTATATTGGTTGGTTTTTATTTAAGCTTCTTGTTTATAGAGTCAACAAGACCTTGGGGAGAGCCTTTGTATTTAAAAGTCAGCTGTCATATTTTGGAGGAAAATTCTTCTAAGTGGTACTGTCCTCTTCTGTCAATTTGCTGTACTGACGTAACCTGGGGTTGCTGTGATGTTGAACCTTGTGCCACTGGGGTGTCAAATGCTCTAACAGTTACCCATGGTGGACAGTGTTTGGAAGAGCTCCCAGTTTAAGACAGATTTGGAAGCAGGAGTGGCATCCACTTCCAAAACAACATGCCTCTGGAACACTGATAAGAACTCTGATAAACGACGGTAGTTATAGAAGGCTTCAGGCCTTTTGTTCATAGGGTCGCTATGAGTCGTGCTTGACTTGACGGCAATCAACAATAAACAACATCCCACTCCTGGGAATATACTCTAAAGAAATCAGGGCTATGACACAGATGTGTGCACAGCAGTATTTACTGCAGCATTATTCACAATAGCAAAGAGATGGAAGTAGTATGTGTCTATCAGCAAACAAACTATAGTATCGTCACAAAATGGGATATTAAGCAGGCCCTAAAAAAGAAAAAAAAAAGAACTCATAAAACAATACACAACATGGATGAGTCTAGAAGTCATTATGCTGAGAGAATTAACTCAGTCACAAAAGGATTAATACTGCATAAGACCACTGTTATAAAAACAGGATGGATATAGAGGCAGGGAGAGCAGAAAAAGAAACAACAAATCATGGAGACTATACTGGAATAAGTGAAAGGAAAGACAATCTGAAAGGAACAGATGATTAAACATTTTATGCATGACAGTTAACAATCTAGAAGGACATGCAGTACCAAGTCAATTGGAGGAGGGGGAGAGAGGGAAAATGCACATCAATGGAAGACCCAAAGAATAAAAAAAAAATTTTTTTTAATTATTAACAAAAACTAACTTTAAGTACATAAATATGTTGATCAGGAAATATTTTACAGAAAATACTTTAAAATATAAAAGGTTAACAAAATATGAAAGACAAGACACTTACTTCTTTATATTCATTGATTAGTTTGGTAAGGCCATTCAAAAGCATAGGACCTAATGGTTTAATCTTGATTTCTGGACAACTTTAAAAAACAAAAAAATACAATTTATCTATAATATAATATAACAAGAACTCCTTAATACTTATCTTTTCAGGTAATTACTTAACATAATTAAGAGACATTATTGAAGCAAGTTAAAATAACCTATTTAAAGCTGAAATTTTTCTTTAAGTAAACATTTCTTTCTAGGTAGGACAGGTAAAGTGATCTATTAGAATCATGGTAACTCCAAGAGCCTGAAAACTTTAAAGAGATAAAAACTTACGTTACACAAATGTGATGTACAAATTGCAGAGATAATGTTCTTAATTTTGAGTTTGTATTTGCACCAAAAAGCCCATCATACACCACCTAAGAGAAAAGAACAACATTAAGAACTACTTCAAGATGCTAAGTTTAGCAATTTACTATTTTCAAATAATGGATCTCAATAGCAGATTAAATGTGTTCTTCAAAAAATGCACTTCTTTCTAATACTGTACTAGCTGACCAAATGAGAAAACTAATCAGTTAACTCCAATCAATAGTCTGTGTATCAAATCTCCAAAACTCCTAGATTTTCACTAGAAAGCAGCACAGAACAGCTGGTTCACCCCAGTGTCTTTCTCTCTGCAACTCAATAACAAACGGGGATACCATCAGATGATATTATTTTGGAGATACTGATTTTAAGATTATTACACAGTTATTCAGGACAAATGATAAAACTGTCACACAAAAATCAAAATTAAAATAGTCTTAATGTGTAATTTGGATAGGGGCATTCTATGTACTGTGTAAGTCCTATCTACACAAGGCAAAAAAGACCACACAGCAGGTAAATTCTTTGTAGAATCCAATGAGCCCAAATATTAAACATCAGAATCAAATCAAACACCATAAATTTCTATTTTTGCAAGAAAGATTAGTTTTCTGTATTTTAAAAAAAGTAAAACTTCCATATTTGCTTGAAACAGACAAGTAATGCTCATGTTCTATACAAACAATGCTACAAGCATTACAGTCAAGACAACGTTTTCAAATGAAAATATACATACATTAAAAATTACATAGAAAATATAATCACATGCTACAATGCCACATTATTGGAAGCAAGCATCTGATAGTGCCTTATTAATAAGGTACCAGAAATAAAAGGATTCATAAGAAAATTAATGACGTTTAAGAGAAAAAATATAACACTTATGGAACGTTTATTACATGATAGTAATTGTCTGGATACATTTGTATGTTCACACTCACTGTGAGGTAATGTGTCTAGTTAAAATACACTGGATCAAAAAAGAAGCCATTCATCTATATATCTCAAAAGATTCTGACAGCAATATGGAGAAAAGGTGGGAAGACCCTATTAGATAATAGCAACGCCTCATTAGAAATAGGAATATCAGAGGTAGAATGTTTATGAATCTTTCTTTCAATATGCTCCCAGGGAGCTAGATTTCTTTTGAAAACATGTTAAAGTGTAATGTGTACACCTTTTAAAAGTCAGGAGTATTAAGAGTATAGCATATTATACTGTGTATTATGACAACCATGTTCTGAAACAAAATTACCAAGAGACTAGGAAATGATGTTTAGGTTGTTAAATCTAAGATGCTCTGTGAGATCGCTCAGATTTATAGAGACACAGAAGATTTTAAAGAATTCCCATACTAGAGTGCTTACTAGATGCTGCCCACTGAGAATAAAACTTTTAATATCTAGAAAAGAGAAACAGCACATCAACAAAGTAGCCTCAAGAGAGAGCTTTGCTAGGTCAGGGCAAGCATAAAGCCAAGTGGACTCACTTCTGTAGGAAAAGGGGAGAGAGACAGGAGATAGAAACATTTCAAGTGTGAGATGGAAGACCTGGACAAATACTGAACAAAACTGGGTAAGTACCAAGCTGAGGGGGTGGAAAGTAAGGCTACGCAGAGAAAGTACTGTGAGTACAGAGACATGAAAACCACAAGTTTAAGGAGAATATAGTCAGTAAAAGGTAAGAAGATGGCAAGAGATGAGACCAGTAAGGAAATAATCGCTAGCACAGCATTATACCATTTACTAAGAACCTAATACCTTATAGTACAAGCCACTGTACTCTAACCTTCTAACCATTATCTCATTCAGTCTGCATAACACTGCTTTAAGCCCGTTACACCATTTTACATTCATTATATTAAAAAAAAGTTAAGAACCTGAGATTTATTTAGGATCAAACATTAGTAACTAATGAAATCAAAATTATACTATTGTCTCCAAAACTGGGCTGGTTAGCATTTCCTGTAATACAGATTACAAGAATATCAAAATTACAGAATTACAAAGGTAATTCTGGTGGCAAAGTACAGATTGGATCTGATCAAGACTAGCACAAGAAGACAAATAGTTGGAGAGGAAAAAAGTGACAGTCTGTATCACTATCAGCATTACAGAGACATTAGAGAGAGATTCAGAAAACAGAATCAGGATGATCTGGCCACAGCCTTGATGTGGGGTTCGGTAAGAATGACTCACAGCTTTTTCACTTGAGTGATCCAGTTTCTGGAGGTAAAATTTTTGAGAAAAGCCACAGGGGAAAAAAATTAATTTGAACAGAATTATCACCATTTAGGAACAATGGTAACCATATATACTGCATATTCCATAATAAATTTTTTTGAAAAGTACTTCTTCGGAAATAAAAGTGGTCACTATGAGTCATGGACAATTCGATGTAACATAACAACAATATCAATAGTCTTGTTATATTTAACAACCTAACTAGTAAATATCCATGGATGCATTATAATTAAACAATCATAAAAGTTGTAGATATGTTACTTTTTCTGGAAAGAACAAATTACCTGAATGTTAGCTGGGAATGTTTCAGCAGCTTGTCTGGAGCGAAGGAGATGAGGGACAATCTTTAACTTGACTCTCGTACTGACTGGGTCTCTTTTCAATTCGGGCTTCAGAACTGCCCCCTGTCAAAAAATATGCTTGATAATAACTCAGTATTTCAAAATTATATTGAACTGAAAAAAAAAAAAATCATAAGCTATCAAATCAATAGTTGTCAAACTTCTCAGTCTTATATTCTTAATAATTATTGAAGACTCCAAAGAGTTTTTGCCAACAAAAGCTATCGATATAAAAGTAAAACAGAATTTCCAAAATATTAACGCATTTAAAAATAACAAACGCATTATGTTTTCAAAAGTGACATACTATATGAAAAATAAGTTTTTGTTTTCGTCGTTGTTGTTAATTGCCTTTGAGTCGAACATGACTCATAGCAACTCTATGAACAAAAGGCCTGAAGCCCCTCTACAACTATCAACATTTATCAAAGTTCATACTTTTCCAAAATATATTTAGTAACATAAGTGACATCATTTTACCTTTTTTTTAAATTCTCAGCAAATATATTTAATGTCCATCTTAAAAACAATTAGCTGGATTCTTATATCTGTTCTACATTCAATTTGTTGTTGAGGCTGGAGCCCTGAGTAGTGAGAGGAGCACCCAATCTTAACACAGATACATAGTTGAAAAGAGGAACTCATTATCACGTTTGCATATGATTATGCTTTGTTATTATGCCAAAACTTGACAAATGAACATTTCTCAGAGCTGTATGTTTGAAAGCATACTGATGAACTGCATACTCTATTATGCTGAATTCTACTGCATTAATGGACTCAAGTATGTTAGAAATTATGAGGCTGGCACATGATAGAACATAAATGTACACAGTTGTAGAGGGGCTTCAGGCCTTTTGTTCTTAGATTCGCTATGAATCATGCTCCACTCGAAGGCAATCAATAACAACAAGATGATAGGACAGGGTTCAGATCTGTTATTCAAAGAGTTGCTATGAGTCATATTCGCATAAACAGCACCTAACAACAACATAATCGTGTATTCTGAGCAGATCTCTTAGCTTTATATTCTTTTGTACTGCTGGTCATTTAGAAAATACTAAGTCACTGAATTATTTAAGTGTTTCCTAATTGAACATCAGAAAAAAAAAATCCATGTAGATCACCAGGAATCTCATCAATCCATGAAAACTGACAAGTAATCAAGTTTGCACCAAATACAAGTTTCTGAAAATTCTAATTTTTAAAAGAAAATACAATTTCGTTTTTCCTTGCACATCAGCAGTTCCTTTGAGGATGTCACCTTTTTTTCCAAATAGTGACTCGTTTTTTTCCCATTATTTGTGAGAAAACACATTTTTTCTTTTATTTACTGTTTTCCTTGAAGTTGCTATCCCATTTTTTCACTTTGAGAAATTATCTGACAAATAAAAATCACTGAAGTTTGTGTTAAAAAATTTTTCCTCTTCATCTTTTTATTGTGATTTTAACAAAAGTTTATAGAAAAGTTGGATTTTTCACTCATTCAGGCTGTACATTTTCCTCCCTACCTCCCTCCAGCTCATTTAAAAAAAAATGTATATTTATTCATTGATGCATACTTTCCTCCCTTCCTCCTCACACTTCCCCAGTTCACTTTGCTGTGCACCTAATGCCTAATCACATATTCCTTTTCAACAGTTCTTTCCTTCTCTGTTTAAATGCAGTGTCCATTATTTATCCCCTCTTAGCTACCCTCCAAACCCCATGTCAATCCTGTTTTATAGCAGTGGTATCATATAGTATTTGTCCTTTTGTGACAGATATTTCACTCAGTATAATGTCCTCCAGGGTCACCCATGTTGTGTAATATGAGGTTTTTGTTTTTTCAGTGTTGTGTAGTATTCCATTGTGTGAATATACCATTTTTTTTTTATCCATTCATTTATTGACGGGCACATGGGATGCTTCCATCTCTTTGCTATTATGAATAATGCAGCAATAAACATGGGTGCATACAGAAGCATACATCTGTCTGAGTGGAAGCTCTGGATTCTTTAGGGTATATATGATGGGTCAAATGGCATTTCTATTTCCAACTTTCTGAGAAAGTGGCAGATCGCCTTCCATAGTGGTTATACAACAAAATTTTTATGATGCTGTGATAAAATAAACCAAAACAACCTACCTCTTTTGTCTTCAAAGGTATATCTCCAAGGTATACTTTGTACATCTTATTAATGATGGCAGGATTATTCCAATCAATTAAGCTACAAAAAATGTTTCAAGAAAATGTTAAAATCATGGAGTATTTTTCGCAGGCTTCAGATATTTAAAAAAAAAAATCACAGACTCACTATCTGAGTCAACACAAACAAGAAAGAAAGGAATCCGCTTAGAACAGAGTTAGTCCAATCTGGACCAAACAGAAAACTGGACTGTGATCCTGTCTAGGTGGGCTCTCAGAAGCAGTATCATGAAGCTCTTTCAAAAGAACAGAGCAAGACATGAATCTCAGAGACTGATCGCTTCAGATTTAAACTCTTAGAAACTCAAGAATGACAAGGAAAATGATTTTTAAAATTATTTCTTTTACTCATTAAAGTTAAATCCTCAAATGATTACAAAAAGACCTGAGAGTTGATTCTTCCTCATGGTTATCCTTTAAGTTCAATGTGTCAAAAGGGAACTGTGCTTCACAGGTTTTCAACAGCTGATTTCTCAGAAGTACATCAGGAACTTTTCTCCTAAGTACTGCTTAAATGTTAGCAACCAATCTTTCAGTTAGCAACCAAGCTTAACAACCATATGTACCATCTAGTCCCAATTCTCTAAAACTGTGTTATGATCCCCAGCATTCCCTTCTCTTTCCTTAGCCTCAGTACACATCTGCAGTGTCAGTACTGACACCTAATACTACACAGCAGACATACTGCCATTCTTAATAGCTGTCAGCAGCCATGATTTATTTCCATGGCGCCTATTTGGAACTCACAATACTATGAATTTGGACATACTGCAACTACTAACTGGCTTCTGTCTTCTACTGCAGTTCACCCCAGCTATTTCATTAACACAGCAAAACGGCAATCCACCATTTCAATGGACTACTGAGGTTTTACCCTAATATATTCTCTCTGCCTTTAGATGTTGTTTTCTAGCTACATTTGCTCACAATGTGTCCTGTTGCTCTGACTGCATTACCCATTTAACTCCTCCCCCCCCCCCCGCAGGGTTTATCAATCTGCCTCTCTCTGGATATCCCCAAAGGCATTCTACAATTCTTACTTTAGTTACTTAAGAAGAGTAATTTTTTTTTCTTCTATATTTATCTTACTATCTTTCTACTTTGTTTTCTGCTTACATGTTTCTTGCCAAAAATTCATAAATTAATAATATGAAAATGGTTTATAATCTGAAGCACACACCACCTCTATTCCTCTTCAATAGGACAACAACCAAGTTTGGACATGAGGAAAGAAATAAATCAAAAAATGAATGCTACACTTCTTATTGTCAAAATGGAGTATCTACATATTGTGCTCAACTCATTTTTTATTTAAAAATGTATACTTTTCTTAATGATTAATAAATATTACTTACCAGCAGATACACATTGGTATACTACATTGATTTGATTTCTCACGTGAAATATTTTTTAGTTATTTAGTATTTACATTTCATCTTGTACTAAACAGTACCTATTCAGTACCTCTTTCCATATTTTCCTGTTTTA